AATTTCACAAAAATTTCTCTCAAATTCCTTTACAACTAAAAACCTGGAACGTCAATGTGGCATTTAAAAACTCATGCACTGTTAAACAAATATTAATCAAGAACTCCCCCAACAATACAAGTGGCTGCATTTATAAGGTTCCTTGCAAGGAATGTAATATGTTTTACTTAGGCCAGACAGGTAAAGATCTTGTAACTAGACTTAAACAACATAAATATAGTGTTAGGACAGGCCAGGAATCCAATCCTCTGTTTGTTCATTTGAGGGATAATAAGCATTGCACTGACTGGGATAATGCCTCCTCAATATTACCTTGTAATTCAATTGACAGTAGGAACAATATAGAATCTAGTCTCATTAAACATACCGAAGCAGTCAACATGAATTTGAGTAATGGTATGTACAAACTGGACAATTTTGTAATTAAGAAGATTTGTAACCAGGTGAAAAGGTTGGGTCAACTTACACTCTGACCTGACTACCGACCGTTGCCGTGCTATTTAAAGATTAGTAGGGTCATGACCTAATACCTGACCATTGTGGACCTGGTCTCACCCTCCTCTGTATATATACACACCTTGTTTTGTACTTCTCTTTAGTCTGTACTCACCCCTGAAGATGTGAATTACATGAAAGCGCTTGGGAACTTCGTGTTTTCTTCCTTCCTTCCTTCCTTCCTTCCACAAGGAAAGAAGAAAACATGAAGTTCCCAAGCGCTTTAGTGTACTTCCCATCTTCAAGTCATGCGCCGGTTAACATCCAAACAAACAACGTCCGATCGCATATATGTCCGTGGCCCCCCCCCCCAAAAAAAAAAAACACTTCCGTGACGCCTGCTGGACCACCACTCCACGACCCCCTGACGGAGACATGATGATCCTTCCCATACTGGCCATATCTAGTTGCCCCAACAATTGCAACCCCAATTGCAATTGGGGTTGCAATTTCAAATTCTGTGTCATTACTAAGGAATAAGGAAGTCTTTGGTGCACTCTTAAGATTAAGAGAGAAAACGGAGGACTCAGGAGTCCTGAAGAGAGAGAAAACGGACTCCTATGATGGGGGACACAAGCACTCACATGTGCCACTCATACTGACAGACTTGACACTCACGTACTTGACAAGTTTTACCAACCATTAGTTGTGTACGTTATCTAGTGAATTTAGTCAATATTGTACGTACAAGTACACTGCAATACAGTGGTCCCTCAGTTAACAATGGACCTAAGTGCAAACCTGTACTGTACATGTACTAAATGATTACAGTACTAAAATTGTTATGTCTAATGCAAATATAGATTGTTTATACAAGTACCTGTATTCAAATAAATCAATATCTTACAAGAATCCCAGCAATGTAAGTTATATTCACCCAGGTCATTTGGGTGGCAAATTTTGAGAAGAGCTTAGTCACTCTTAAGTAATAATAAATAAACATGCAGGCCTTCAGTGCCAACTGTCAAATCATATCACCTCACCTCCCTCCCCCCACGCTCGCTTGGGGGGTTTTAGGCCTTAAGTTTTTCATATAATATCTCAGACTACAGGAGAATATAATTTGCATTGCTGAAAGCCTTGCAAGACAGAGATTAATTTGAATATAAATGTCATATATTTTGCTCAAGAGATAAAAATTGTAGTACATTAGTGTACATTTTATAATATAAAGTTTTTCAACTGTATTTTTGGGTAGATTTACATAAATTTCTTCATTTATTTTCATCCATTTACATGCATACACCATACTAAAAGAAACGCAAAAGAAATAAATGACCTTAGTGCAAAGTGTGAGGACCTAGGTGTGTATGTTGACAATGAGCTGAAGTTCTCGGGCCATTGTGAGAAGAAGGTAAATCAGGCAAATAAATTATTGGGTCTTATAAGAAGGTCGTTCAGATATCTAGACGGTCCGTCCCTCGTGACGATCTTCAGGAGTGAAGTGCTTCCCCATCTGGAGTACTGTCACCCCATCTGGTCCCCGAGATATGCTAGGGACTGTCAGTTGGTTGAAAATGTTCAAAGGAGGGCCACCAAACTGGTGCCTACACTTCGGCACCTCAGCTACCCTGAGAGATTGGAGCGCCTGAACTTGCCTAGCTTATACTACAGACGGGCAAGGGGGGACCTAGTTGAGGTTTATAAGCATCTTAGGGGGCACTACTCAGTTGAGTGTCCTTACTTGGAGCTGGCGGACGCTCGCCCCACAAGGGGTCACAGCTCAAGATTGAAGAAGCCGCAAGTCCAGAAAACCGTGAGGGCAAACTTTTTCGGAGTGAGGGTTGTAAACTCTTGGAACAATCTACCAGAGAGTGTTGTGACGGCACCGAGTGTGAGCTCTTTCAAGAGAAGACTTGACCAACACTGGAGCGGGTTCAGGTACATTCAGGAGCCGGTGCATGCCCAGTATTTGCCAACAGTGCGTGACAGAGACGTGACCGATCGCCCGGGCGGCTAGCGAGCCGATCTTTTGGTGAAGAATATAAATGAAAAGAGACGTGACCGATCGCCCAAGCGGCTAACAAGCCGATCAGTGGCGAAGAGAATAAAAGTAAAAGTAAAGCTGGAGTGTACATGTACTATTTTGTTTCCGATACTAAAATTGTTACCGGTATGTCTAGTGCAAATTATAGCATGTTTATATTCAAATTAATCAGTATCTTTAAAGAATCCCAGCAATGTAAATTACATTCACCCAGGTCATTTCACTGGCTTTTTATGAGAGAAGCTTAGTCACTTAAGAGCTGATAAATATACACGCCTTAGACCTGGGCCGGTGCCAACTGTCAAACCATTCCCCTCCCCCCACGCCCCCTCGCTCGCTCCCTCCCTCCCTCCCTCCCTCCCTCCCTCTCCCCCAACTGCCCAGCGTTGATGGAATCCTTGTAAAACAGTGAATAATTTTAATATAAACATCATGTATTTTGCACAAGAGATAAAAATTAATCACCTGTATCACATTACAGTAGTGATTTAAGAGTAAAGGATTCCCACTTAACGCTGTTTGAACCCAGAGGGTCCAGGCTATGAAATCGTTATGAACAACAGAACATATGGGATTAATTCCAATAGAAACCGGCCCGACCCCCAAACTCCACTTTTTGAAGACACATAACTATGTTGTAGTAAAAATAACATCTTAATTTTATGATGGTACATGCACACAATTAATACTTAAGAGAAATACAGTCGCCAAGTTAATGTCCATTCAAATAATGGACTCGACTCCCTCCCCCTCTCACACTACACTCGCTGGCTCTTCCCTCTCAGAGAAATTTTTGGGGGAAAACCACTAAATTTTAATAAATAATACCTCAAACTAAAGTTAGGATAATACAATTGACATTGCTGGATTCCTTGTAAGACCAGGAATATTTTGAATATAAATGTCATATATTTTGCACAAAAGATACATAGTTACCTAGAGAAAAATTTTTATCTAAAATTTGTATGTTTAATGAAAAATATATGATGTTTATATTCAAAATGATCACCAAATTATAAGAATTCCAGCAATGTAAATTATATTCTGACCGGGTAATTTGTAAGAATTTTATGAGCTAAAACAAATATCTTCAGTTAATAAAAAAAAAAATAATCTTCACAACACTATCTGTCAATCAAAGTACCCCACCTTGCCTCCCCCCTCTTCCAACGGCGCGGTCAGTCCCAACCCTCCCCCCCACCCCCCACCAATCCTCCCTTCCAGGGTTTTTAACATTTAGTATTAAATAATACCTCAGATTAAAGTTAGGATAATATAATTGACATTGCTGGATTCCTTGTAAGACCAGGAATATTTTGAATACAAATGTCATATATTTTGCACAAAAGATAACATAGTTAATTTGAGAAAATTTTTTATCTAAAATTTGTATGTCTAATGCAAAAATATGATGTTTATATTCAAAATGATCATCAAATTATAAGAATTCCAGCAATGTAAATTATATTCAGACCGGATAATTTGTATGAATTTTATGAGCTAAAACAAATATCTTCAGTTAATAAAAAAAAAAATAATTCTTCACTGGGTAACAGATGGTCGGTCGGTCCCTCCATCCCCCCCACCCCCCACCAACCGTCCCAAGGAGATGTGTGGGATAACCACTAAATTTTAATAAATAATACCTCAAACTAAAGTTAGGATAATATAATTGACATTGCTGGATTCCTTGTAAGACCAGGAATATTTTGAATATAAATGTCATATATTTTGCACAAAAGATAACATAGTTAATTTGAAAATTTTTTTATCTAAAATTTGTATGTCTAATGCAAAAATATGATGTTTATATTCAAAATGATCACCAAATTATAAGAATTCCAGCAATGTAAATTATATTCTGGCCGGGTAATTTGTATGAATTTTATGAGCTAAAACAGGCAGTCAGGCAGGGTGGGGCAAATCTAAAAATAGCGTCTGGAGGACACTCACCGCGTATATGGAAAAAATCCGTGTTAAGTGAAAGTCAGCTCTGGCGAGGCACCGTATATGATAAACGCTATAAGGAAACCGCTTTAGTAATACTGTATGTATATAGTAATCCACATATACGTAAGTATAAATACAAAGTTTATGTGATGATCGGACAATGTCCATTTCGGTTAACGTCACGTTTCCAAGAACGTATCTAGGACTTTAACCGGCGCATGACTGTGTATATATATATGTATATATATATATATACAGTGAACCCTCACTTTACGCGGTCAATTGAACCCACGGAGGCCCGCGTAAAGTGAACAACATAACATATGGGATTAAATGAAATAGAGACCGGCTGACCCCCAAACTCCACTTTTTCCGACACAATACCTATGTTCTAGGAATGGAGCTCACTAACTGGTCCAGGGAATGGAGCTTACACTCCTCTGGATTTCTAAGAAGTTCATAAGACTGCAAGATCAGGATAACTTGCAATTATTCAACTCATTAGTGAGGATGCACATTACTTGCATAAAAAACTTCATATGGTTTAATTGTAAAATAAAAGACTGTATACACTAGTAACATTTAATTATTATACTTTTCTTTGATAAAATATTAAGATTCTGCAGGTGAAAGGTTTAAAATGCAACCAAAACAATATCTAAGTGGACTTAGAAATCTGAAAAGAACAAAGCATAAATAAATTGATTTCTGAACCAGTAGTGAGACTCATATAAACAATGAAACTCACTAGAATCCTCAATAATCAATATTCATGCTAAGATCTTCTCACCTGTGCAACCACAAATGCGGACGAGAGAAGCACTGCGTCACTGGGAGTGCAAAATCCTTGTATAGTACATCCAACATATCAATAAAACTAAAATTTCTTTCTGTTTTTACTACTCATACATTCAGCAGGTCTTCCAATCCCAGTGGTAATGAGTACTTCAACATTGTAAGGCATCCATGTGATTGTAAGTGCTTCTTAAATCACTAGGGCATTGTAATAATAAGGATATAAGAATAGCAGATGGAAGTATCAGAATTAAAATAGGAACATTAATAACTGACCATTTTATTATCAGTTCTGCAATTTTGTAAACTTGTAAATTCATACTGGATTGTATAAAGTCTTATAAAAATCTGACCATTTGTGTGTCATGGTAAATTATTTTAATTACAGCATAAAGGCACTCAAATGATTACAAACACAACAAAAACTAATGTATCAACAAGCTCTTAAAACACATACCCTTATTAGTTCCACCTTAACCTAAGTCAATGAGCATAATCATTTCAAACTGTACTTTGTGTTCAATCTGTTATATAGATCTGTCTTATGATAGAATACAGTTTAAGCACCAAATAAATAGACATTAGTTACTTCTTAAGCTACAGTAATCAGTTAGTTTTGCACAAGATAGAGTTACAAGACTGACATAATCTGCAGTAACAGTTCATTACACAGTGTATGGCAGGGACATGCCTAATCTAATATTGCATGTCTACTACTCCAGAAAAGCAGTCTGTACTAATATTACAATAAGCCCAAGGCAAAAGTTTGAGATTTTTTTTTTTTTTTTAGAAATTAGATACTACTGGATTATATATACCGTATACTATACAATTATTCATCCAATTTAGTCCTAATATTCAGTAAAATTGTATCATACAACAAATGGTAGAGATATGGCAGTGTTTCCCCTGAATGTATCAGGTGACACATTAACTTGCTTATACCACATCTTGCAACAAGCAAGTCTATCCCTGGGCTTATTTTGTGGCAGACACATGACAGTATCGGCACAACTGGGTGGGACAAGGATGCCGTACCTAGCAATAATTCTAGGATTATTTGCATAATTCCTCTATCAACTATTAAAATAAAATATTTGCAGACTTTGAGTCACGGTTACAAACATAAGGGTTATTATCTTTGATGACTGTGAGCTTGGATACAGTTCTCCTGCATAAAGGAAGACAACTGTTTTGGCACAATATAAAGCAAATACTGGACAGTTACCCGATACAACTCTCATGAGTGACTTACTCTTGTGACTGTATCATTGAGGTGCAAATATATGACAAGCCATATTCAGTTTAATGTAAGCTGGAGAGGTGAACATTGCCTCAAGGAAATCTGGCTTTTAGCATACACTGTTATTCCAATCACTTGTTGAGGCCTAAAGTCTGACATAAAATAAAAGAAAGCAATGCCAGAACTCTCGTAGAAGCATAATCAATTACAATTTTAATATTTGCAACATCTTAGTGGCAACTTTTTCTTCTACCATTCCAGCATTTTAGAGAGATCATTGGAACTAACTTTTGCATTAATTTCCAATCTGTAAATCCACCTTTCGAAATATTTACAGATATGTTCATTACACAATATTAAGGCAGTGTGTACTGTATATATGTTACAGCTGAGCAACTAAGTTACTAGAAATCAGTATTACATTATGGAGGAAATGAGTTTATATTATAATTTTTTTAAGCCCCAAAACGGCATCCACTTCACTAATCATCACACCTGAGAATATCATATAACTGTACTGTATGCATAAATGGGTATCCTTATAAATGGATGATAACAATGCTCATGCCTCTAATATACATGCTGTCATTCATTAATCATTAGTACTGCAATAATTATGTTTTCTTGAAGTGTTCCTCATTCACAAAAAGTCTGTAAAATTGTTTTTAAAAATTCTTTTTTTCACATCATATTTCTCCATCAAAACTTTTGCAGATGTAAATTTCTCATGATCTTCCAGAACTGCTAGTTTGTCCTTCATGCTTAACTCTTTTCTGGCCCTCTTCTGACTTCCTTTTGAAGTTGTCTTGCCTTTAGAAGCCATGGTAATTAGTCCACAATGTCACAAATAATCCACAAGAGTTAAGTGATGCACACACAAGGGCTTGTAAACAAAGCGGCTGGGGTTGGTGTTCGTGTGCACGAGACAGCTATCCTGACTATTCTCGGTTAATCCCGACTTTTTCCGGATTAAATAAATCCCCTGCGGAAATCACTTTATCCGGAGATTCGTTTAAAAGGACCGAATTTCCCCCTTATTAGTCTGGATTATCAGGGTTTTACTGCATGCATTAACGTGTATTATATACAGTACAGTACAAGAGAGAGAGAGAACAAAATGTATTTCTTATTTAAGTTTTAACACAACACATGCTCAAGGTTGCATCATTTATGCTTACATAAGTACATTATACAGTACAGTAATTGTGATCTTAGTCCAAGCTTTGTATTTCTGAATAGAATTTTAAGGGACACCCATGTATGCAAATTGCATCAATGTTACTGTTGATATTTTAGTACATGCTGTCTGTACCTGTAATGCCAATTAAAAAAAAAGGAAAAAAATCACACAATGATATAACATTATCAAGGCAAACACCTGATGGACATGCCTTAAGTAACACATTCCAATAAAATATAATCAATAATATTCACTGTACCGCACTTCTATATATATTACAGTATACAGTACTTATCAGGTGTTGATAGAACCAGTATATTTTCATAGCTGACTGGTACAAAAAATGAATTATTGCAATTTTCCAGCACTTATTATCCTTTGCATATATGTAATGGAAATTTTAAAATAACTGGAAGAGATTTTTCTAATTCACTTACAAAATCATCTTGATTACACTCAAATTTGTTCAGATCCAAATTTTTTTCATGACTAAATGTGTAAAATAATTGTCATAAAATAAAATTACCTCCAGACAAGTATTATGAAGTCAGTGTATATTCTAAGCTTCTTCGTGCATCCTCTAGTACACGGGCATCAAATAACATCTTAATACTGATACCATGGTTGTTTACGGACCCATCGCAGCCTAATGCCAGCATCTGTGCGAATCTTGATAGATGCAGCCTCAGCAGCACGCACAGTCTCCTTCACCGACTGCATCAGATTCTGGGCATTACCTACCAGCATCTCTGTAGCCTCCTGATCTTCTTCTGAGCCTAGGAGAATCAATAATGTTAACAAAATTTTATTGGCAAAAAAAATTGTAGAACTGAACCTGGACCTTCATGCCTGTCTTTACAGTACAATGCATAGTTAAAGTTTCCAAAAACCAGTCCCGAACAAAATTATTAAAAAGAAATGTGCAAATATATGAAATTTTCAAACAAATTATACATTTTTTTACAAGTTTACTTTTCAAATGGTTTCCTACTGTCTTATAAAATTTCCTTTTGCAACGTTTACTCCCCTATCCACCATCATAACAATAAATTTAAAAAAATTATTTAACGTAATTTACTGTATGAATATAAAAAAAATTAATTTTGTAACTGAAGTACTGTATACTTAAAGCTTCCTAATTTATATAAACTTCACATTTCTCCTAAAAACTGCTTCTATATGATTTAATTATTCAAATTTTGAATTGATGAATACTGTAATGTTTGTGATTTTTTATTTTTCTTTGGTTAAGGGGGGGCGATGGTATCTGATTTAACTTAGTACATGAACTGGCTAATAGATGGGCAAAATCAGTAAATATTGCAACCCATAGCTGAAAATGAACATGCAAAATCTGGGCAAGTTTATGTTGCAATTTGACTATTACCAACTGTGTGAAAATTAATGTTTTCATAAGCTTAACTTTTCAATAAACAGCCATTAGAATCATAGTAGTCAAGTAACTCTTGTCTATTTTTGAGTGAGACATATTAGTGATTGTACTTTGATATCCTAAAAATTATGACATCTAACTACATTTACATAATTTTAAATCTCAATATTGCAACATCTATTAAAATATACAAACAAAGAGCACTTTAATACAAATATGTAACACAGTGCAACATGGATAAAAATTTTGTCTCATTTTTAAATGAGTTTAAAAACTGCTAAATGGGAGAATGGCCAAGACTGTCTCACATGTATGGTTAGCCAGTGATAACACCCAAAATTTCTGCAAGATCACCATCAATGGCAGCTTTGTTTTAATAAATCAGCATTTTTTTTATAAACCTGGTCAATTAACAAAAAAAAAAATTCAAGGCCTACAAGTCATCATCTAGTGAATGTTAAGACATCAGAACACCAGTCAGTTTGCTTTGTCTACGAGCCCATGAATCTTTGGAAGCAGGAATAATGTACTAACAACAGCTTCTCAACCAGGTGAGCCAGAGTTATGAAGCAAACTCTGACCTTAAACTGGTGGGTGATTTGAAAACTGTTAAGTTAACTGGTATACTAGGACAAACCTTGAACTCGTTTGCTTGTCTTGTATACTCCAGGCATAAACTTGGGATTCATAAACCAAACCACACATTTTCCTGTCTGGTAACATGCTGCGAACGTGTTGTCTTTATTCTAGAACTGTTTTGCCTACATTCTATTAGACTTTCAGCAAAATGTTCTCTACACATATATTTTCCAAGATAGTTCTCTTTACTTTTGAGGTACATACTTTCAAGTTGGAATGGCTGTGGTTAGTTTTCTTATTCATGATGTAATCTTCGAGATAATTTGTTGAATAACTATTACCACTTGGAACCAAAGGATTGGAAGATTAATCCTGTTTATGTGCAAGAAAATGTGAGAAAGGAAGTCTGAGACTCAATTTTATAATTGAGGGGCACATGTCAAGTGGCTCTAAGGTTTGTTCTTGTGTACCTGTTGACTCACTCACTGGCTTCCAAAGTGATCACCAAATTAAGGTCAGACTATGCTTCACAACCCTTTGTCAATTACTGTAGGTGAATAGCCATTTAATTACCAGTTACAATTTACTGTACAATGATCTAACAGGAAACTGTCCCTGCCTCAGATAGTACCTAGCCTGCCTGAACAAGGTGGACTTTACCTTGGGGTATTCTGGTGGGGTAATCATACAGGTCACTTGTTTCTTACACTCAACCAAAAAATATATTTTCATACAACAATCCTTTCTTCTAAATATATTATATTTAGCATATATTTGACAGCATAACATCTGGAGATTGGTGTTGAATTATTAGCATAAAATACCAAGTAGCTACATACTTAACAGGTTGATGGTAAAGGCTTGTGTGTAAGAATTACCCAGTAATCATATCTCCCACATAAAAATGCTTATATACTTTTAATTCAAATTATTTATAACACACGAGCAAAAAAAAAAAAAAAAAAAAAATATCCTGACAAAACCAAAGGCAATTCCACTGAGCTCTTAATCAGTGTATCAAAGTACAATATCAATACAGTATATGGGTATGGGACTATTTATCCAGTGTCCTGGTATCTGGAATGCTCCAAAAACTGGTTATGTTCTAGAACAAATTACAAATGAGCACCAAGTAATTTCCAGGCCAAGCAGGAAATTATCAATAATTTCCCCCATCTGTGGGCTATATGTTGTGGTAATTTTTCAACTCGTAATTTTGGGTAGATACACAAAATTTTTCAGCAATTTTGTTTTTTACTCATTTACATGCACACAATCCTACATGCAGAAAGTGAAAAATGAAATAAATAATGGCGAGTGTGTGGAGGTCGGAGGGTCCACAGCACAGAGCACTGTTGTGCTAGGGATGCTGCTGCATTGCAAAGGTGAGCATCAGTGAAGACCGGTACATAATTTGTACCCTGCCATGTATCATTATCATTTATGCTCTTTTCGTGTTTTCATAAGTGCAATTTATATGCTTCTGTTAGTGATGTTCATATGACTAAAATTTTAAGTTTTATGTAACAGTGTACAGTTAAAGCTGCTTTTAGGGGTGAATCTAGTGACCTGAAGAGTCTTCACTGCCTGTTACAGAGGTTTTATTGTACATTTAGTACATTCTAGACCTGGTGCTCCTAATTCTGGAAAAACCCTTTATCCAGTAATGCCCAGGTCCCAAGCATGTTGGATAAATGGTCCCATACTTGTAAGTACTGTATTTTTCTGATGAAATCTTACTGTCAATATTATTAACAAATTGTTCAATGCACCTCACTTTGAAGTGGTTGGATTTTATTGTGTGTTTTTATGCACAAAAGTCTGTGCATCTGTGTGTGGGGGTATTGTACTGTATTATGTAATTACACATTATTGTCAATTGTACATTTTTTTAAACCTGTATGCATGTTTGTGCAGATTAAATATCAGATATCTCAGCCTACAAGACGGAATTTGAACAAAAAAAAATCAGCCCAAAGTTAGGGGGTCGTCTTAAGCACCAGAGATAAAATTCTTACCTCTTAAATATTGCGGTTTAGCGTGTCAAGAGTGGTGATGGAAACATGGTAAACCACTGACAAGGTCCTACCACTAATTATTTTATACTGATACTTACGTTTGGGAAGCTGGATTAAAATGAAGATTACCGGTATATTAAAATAATAAAAATGTATTATAAACCTGTCTAACATACCGTAAAACAACAATATACCCCGGTAATAAACACAGTTGCTATCATCACCCCCCCCCCATTTGCCAGTGACAAGAAAGGGAAAGTGACCTTGACTGTGACCGCCTGTGGCTATTTTTAGCCGTCCTTGTGTTCGGAGGTGGTCAGTAATGCATATCTGTATATTTACTGATCATAATACTTATCTCCTATAAATAATTAATTTAAAATTTATTTTTTTACAAAGAATATTCAGTAAATGACTGAGTTAATTCTTGAAACTACCGACAGTGGTAAATTTAGGATGAGAATGATGAACAGAAGTCACGTCATAGATTCGAGTTTGGTCCTTAATGATCACCATAAATTTCTGGTCAACTTCACCTACCAGGTGAAGTTGACCAACAAGTATATAAATTAAAGAAAATACTTGCAGTGTGTTTAATGTATTACAGTATATTATAAATAAATAAATAAACAAATAAATTGGCAAATCTATTTCAAGTAAATGGAAATATTTTACTCACACCAACATTAGTTCCAGTTAAATAATTGATGCTTAAGTGAGTCACTAGTGTACACCAGCCGGTAAAATTTGATGCCAATACTTGAAGTGAATTGGCATTATTTTAAATAACCAACAATAAATAAATGGAAAAAAGATCAAAGGTGAGAAACATTATATTGTATGTATGTTGTGTTGTCAAAGGAAGAGAAACAATTGAAACTCTGCAATTGTGTGTAAATGAGACAGAAAGATAAATCAGCAACCTAAGACTTGGTCACAATTTTCGTGATGCCATATGGAAGTAGGGTCTACCATTAGACAATACTGTACATTATGCTTCCAATATCTTCCCAGGCGGTAGTATCTCCCTGTTTGGTAGCTGCCTAAAACTTTTAGTAATATTACTTTGATACAACATGATAAATTAGACAAACAATGAAAATAAACAAACAAAAGTTATTTACCAAGACCTCTCTGAGAACAGAGGGATGGAGGGGGAAGGAAGGAGGTTGAGATAAGATGGCTATTTATAGCCTGTCTTTGTGTAGGAAGTCGACCACACTAGAAATGATTAATTTTATTATGGTAGTGTTGTGAGGATGTGTGAGTGGTGTGGGGGATTGTGGTAGTGTTGTGAGGATGTGTGAGTGGTGCGTGAGGTTGTGGTAGTGTTGTGAGGATGTGTGAGTGGTGTGGGGGATTGTGGTAGTGTTGTGAGGATGTGTGAGTGGTGTGGGGGATTGTGGTAGTGTTGTGAGGATGTGTGAGTGGTGTGGGGGATGGTAGTGTTGTGAGGATGTGTGAGTGGTGTGGGGGATTGTGGTAGTGAGGTGGTGTGGGGATTGTGGTAGTGTTGTGAGGATGTGTGAGTGGTGTGGGGAATTGTGGTAGTGTTGTGAGGATGTGTAAGTGGTGGGAGGTTGTAGTGTTGGAGGATGTGTGAGTGCGTGAGGTTGTGGTAGTGTTGTGAGGATGTGTGGAGTGGTGTGGGGATTGTGGTAGTGTTGTGAGTGGTGTGGGGTTGTGGTAGTGTTGTGAGGATGTGTGAGTGGTGTGGGGGGTTGTGGTAGTGTTGTGAGGATGTGTATGTGGTGTGGGGGGTTGTGGTAGTGTTGTGAGGATGTGTGAGTGGTGTGGGGGTTGTGGTAGTGTTGTGAGGATGTGTAAGTGGTGTGGGGGTTTTGTGGTACAGTTGTGAGGATGTGTCAGTGGTGTGGGGGGGTTGTGGTAGTGTTGTGAGGATGCTGTAAGAGTAGTGTGGGGGTTTTGTGGTACAGTTGTGAGGATGTTTGAGTGGTGTGGGGGGGTTGTGGGAGTGAGTCATAACCACACACCACCCTCAACACACTACCTCTTTCCTGCATCACCATCCAACACTACCAACGTGCAACACACCTGGTCACCTCTACATTATTAACACCTATACTGGAGTTGATTGGGATCAGGTGCTGTGTACATCGATGTATTTCTGCCCCTGACACTGAATAAGTCATCAACCTCTAGGGTCCAGGATAATATTAAGCCCTGGCACGGTGACTCCTCTCTCTTAAAGTGCATTAAGGTGATTGAATTTGGCGTCATCTAATCCCTAACTTCATAATGGAGTTGTCAAGGCTTCACTGTAATTACAATCTCCAGTTTTTTAGTTTCGTTTATTCAACTGGTATTATATCTACATGTATATTATTTCGCTGTACTGTATAATAAAGTGTTTATAAAGAAAACAAAATGCCTTTAACAAGAGTTATTTAACCAGACGTGGACATTTCTTTTTGTAAAGTCATATGTAGTATGAAATACAATATTTCAGTATACGAGTGTCATGTTGAGATGGGAGTGGTGACATTAGTGGGGCAGCTAAATGCAATTTTTCAAGAGAATCATGAAAATGGTGGTACAAGCACCAAATTTGGCATGGTAATTCTCTAATGGTTACTAGTCAAGTCTGCCTGATTGGCCATTTAAAAATCCAAGATGGCGACCATTTTTCAAGTTGACCGCCATATTGACCTTCAATAGTTGATTTTTCTTATAGAAATTGGTGTAGTTGGTCAATCTGGGTGATCTTGGTGTCGATATGTATGTTTTCAAGCATGCTCAGATGATTTTTTATAGTTTTAAGTCCATTGTAACATTTTTATCCACATAACATAACACTTTTAGTAAAAAATATAACAAAAAAGAACTTACTAAAAAAAAAGTAAGGTAAACAGTGGGAACACAGTCCCACCACCGAGACGAGGTAACACTCCCACCACCGATCGTCTCGTGTGAAGCAAGCATATAAATTAAAGAAAATACTTGCAGTGTGTTTAATATGTTACAGTATATTATAAATAAATAAATAAACAAATAAATCGGTAAATCCATTTCAAGTAAATGGAAAAATTTTACTCGACACCGACATTAGTTCCAGTTACCGGTAAATAGCAGACGCTTCAGTGATGTCACTAGTGTTTACACTACACCAGCGGGTAACATTTGATGACATTACTTGAAGTGAATTGGCCTTATTTTAAAAAACCAAGGATGGTTGGTAGAGGACTACTGAGTCAGTGGGTAAGTGTCACATTTGGGGTACTGGTCTTATACAGCGAATAGAGCTCAAAAACTACTTTTTAAATGGAAATTTGGGGGGGCCGTCTTATGCACCCCGACGCCTTATAGGCCGAGATATACGGTATGCATGCAAGTAGGAGTGTATCTGTAAGCCTGTTTGTATATGTATATAAATATTCATGTCTACCCTGTATAAGCATACACATGTATGCATTTCTGCACATACTGTATTTAGATATACCCTGTAACCGACGTCCCATTAACCAATGCTTCTCATAACCGATGATTACATATTGGAAAAATACCCTGCAATTTTTGTTGACTACCCCGTTGATCCAACCAAAAATATTATTGCAATTTGTCAGTTCAACAGTATTGTACTTCGTTACCTGCATATCAAATTTTTAAATCATTAATTAGTTAATTCAAATACACAATATATATATATATATATATATATATATATATATATATATATATATATATATATATATATATATATATATATATATATATATATATATATATATATATATATATATATATATATATATATATATATATATATATATATATATATATATATATATATATATATATATATATAAACCATACATGGTTATCTGAGGTGCAGTTAAGATAGTCATGCAACCAAAATTAAACATCAATTTCTACACCAATGCCCACACAATAGGCCACTCCACACTAGCCACTAACAACCATACTTACTGGATCCAATCAGGATCTCTGAAAGGATCACCACGCATGCAGGAGAGAGGACAAAGAAAATTATGAGCAAATATTTACTATTAATGACCCTCATTAAAATAAAGATTTTTCTAGACTCTACATTGACACAACATTAATCACACTAAGATGAAAGTAAAGATAAATCAAATGTATTCTACACTCACATCAATGACAAAACTGAAATTTTATTTTATGCATGGAAGACTTGATCATAACAAAATTCACATTTACACAGTACATGAACATACAAGAAAAACGTAGTGGATATGTACCACAGCTGAGATAATAATAATAACAATAAATATCTGTGCTTATCTATCATTCTGTTGGGAGACAATATAGATATAGACTAAAGTGAAGTGTTTTCATCACTGCAGGAGGAGTTATGCTGGAATGAAGAAGCCTGATGGGTAGTTACACCAACAACAACTGGCAGCTGTCTTGGTTTCTTGTTATAAATGTGCTTGTTAGTACTATAGAAGATTGCCAAGAAGCTGCAAGCATTAATCATTTTGTTAACTAAATCTATTGGACCCTATACAATGCCTGAAATATTTACCTATTTATCAATCTTTTTTCCATTCCCATTTATATGGAAGACACTGGCATATGTTGCCATAATTATTATCCTAGATTGTATGTTGTCTTATTCACATTCAGGGCCACTTCACACAAGCACGTTTTCCCTGCACGTATCCTCTTGCAAGTTTTAGAAATTAATAAAGTTCAATGGGACCGTTTACATGGTGCACATTGCCGTTGCAAGCGTTAAGACGTAAAATGTGATTACAGTAACATATTACATTCAGCAGTGGATAGTGTATGCCTACTATTGGCCCAAGATGACAGCATTAGCTGGTGAGTACAGAATATACAGTACAGTAGTATTATGTATAGTACATTATTTTGGTCATTTACAATATATTGTATGTGTACAGTGGTGTTTGCACAATTAAGTACGCTGTTGTGCCTGTCCATGCAAGATGCATAGCTTCAACTCAGGAAAAACTTTCCCCAGTACAGAGTGGAAAATTCCACCGTCTTGGCTGTGCGACACAGATCCATTCACACCTCACATGCCTATTCAGGATTATTTTAGTATAAAAATGGTGTTTCTAACTTAATTAGAACTAATTTTATAGACTTCAGTATAAACCTTTCTTACTTAAAAAAGAAAAGAATCGAGTCCCTGTCATTATTTCGTGTCAAAATATTTTGTTTAAGGATCTTTTATTTAAATAATCTTGTACACAGCTACCGGTAGATCAGATACCCACAGCTTAACGGTAATGGGAGAGTGTTTGTCCATCTGAGATGAGATGCCTAGTTTAGACTCGTGTAGACTCTCAGAAACTTTCCCCAGTACCCGGAAACACTCTGAAGATGTGGGACAGTGTCTGTCCGTGCGAGATACTGCATGTAGTTTAAATTCTCAGAAACTTTACCCAGTACCCAGAAAAATTCCAGGGATGTGGGAGTTTTTGGAGTTTAAGAGATTCATCTCATTACCTGGAAATCTCTCACTCCTGGAAGAACTCTGCACCAATTGCTGTATTATAGTACAATGTTATGGCAGCCAATCTTGATACTGAATTTCTAATAGTGGAAGTGCAAAAGAGACCGATATTATGGGATACTTAAACAGAAGAGTACAAAGACCTGAATATAATGAGTAAAATGCACCTTGTAATAACCTAGTGCTGTTTATTGGATGGAACCACCATCTGAGCTGTCTTTTCTTTGTCAGAATTTTGTTCATCAAATGCGGATGAACTGAAGCATCAAAAACATGCCCATGTGAATATAATGCCTTCGAGAAAATCTCACGCATGTGAAAATTATCTGTGCGGGTCAAAAACGCTTTTGTGAAGTGGGCCTTAAATACAAAAAAAAAAAAAAAAAAAAAATCATGTTTAAATACTATGCCCAGGAAAACTTGCATAAAGTGACTGCAATCTTTAATTTATTTTTTCTTTTATCATAAAAACACGACTGTGCAATGACTGTAAATCATATTATGAAACATCACTATGTGAAGTGAATATACTGTAGCTGTGAAATGAAAAGAAAATGTTCATCACTCTTGTTCCTGAGGCATGCTGTGAAATAAAGCTGTGATTCTGTGCTGAGCTTCATACCCCTACATGTGTGAATTCATTTTCATTCATGTTTCATGCACTGTTGTACAGTATTATCCTACTTATTCAAACTTTTACCATTCATTTCCTACATATTGTATATTACTAATACCATGCTTCACAATAGTATTACACTAGATATTAGATTTTTCTATATAAAATAATATTACAAACTTGTAACAAGAGTATGCATTCTTTATATTATTACTGTGCTCCAAATACTTGACATCTTTGAAACACAGGTCATTACCAAAGATTTTATAGGGGGGCATTGGTCAATTAGCTAGAGGGTAGACTGAAGACGATGTTTTGAAGATGAATAATAGTCTAGATACTGGCAAGCTTCCTAACAAAGTCTTATTAATTAAATTATTTCATAAACTATTTTGAAGATAATCATTGGTATTAAATATTTAATTTTATAAAATTGATAAATAACTTTTTTGTAAAAAGGTATAGATTGTATTATAACTTCTTACTAATGAAAATGAAACTTCAAGAAGCATGCCAGCAGCCAAGCAAGTTGAGAGGCAACAATCTAGTACGAGCTGGGATAGATATAGATATTGTAAATGAGGGGCATCCACAGAACAGGCAATCAACACATCGTCTTTACCGATCTCCGAATCACGTCGAGGGAAGCACTCTGTGTTATGAGACGGGAAAGAGACAGCAATGAAGAAAAAAGCTTTTATGTACAAAATGAAGACCCTAAGTAAGAAATTAAAGGGCATAATAAAGGGGTATTATATCTTGCAAAGTGTACAAGATTGCTTTACCTTAAGATTATACAATAAAAAGTAGTGCTTTTACATTAAATTTATAACCTAAGTAAAAGTACTGTAATATGATAAATTTACAACACTAAAATAAATGTCAATATTTAACTAAATTAGTGACAATACTAATATATATTTTAGTAACTTCATCTATACTGTAAGTTAAGCTTAGTAGATTTATTGACTGACACTAAGATCAAAGATGTTAATACATGAAGTCCAGTTATCCTTTTCATTTAAAATGTTCCACAGAACAGTACATAGTTGATTAAAAGTAATCATTTCCATACAGCATAAGAATCCAACTGCAATGTGGAGAACAATGGAATGAGAGATCAAAATTTATCTATGCTGTAAATCTATCAAAATCAATGACATGAAGATTTATAACAATATTCAACAAAAAATTCTTACTAATTTTGTGTGTATCTAATTATATGTTGTCTTGGTTCCTGTTCTGGATTTGTCACCCAAATTTGGCACTCCAAGAAACCTTGAATATGTACCAGTATCAATGTGGTAAACTTAGTAAAGGCTGCTGCACTGAACATCCAATTGTTCACAGGGTTCTGTCGTGACATGATAAAGACCACAAGGCATTTCTTTTTCACACCAACACCTTCTGGCTATCAAAAGGAGATATCCTGACTCATGATTAATAGCTGTGAGATAAAGTGAAAGTCTTTCTTGAAATACAGAAGTTTGATCCTTTCACTGTCATTTATTCACATGGCTTCCAGATATCCTGGGCTTACACTGTCAACATCTTGGAGGCTTTAAACTCTCTCAATTGAAAAATTCAAGGCAAGGATCAGAATATCTTGAGCCACTATGACTCCATTTGAGCATTTGTAGAATTAATATTATGGTGGAAACGCAGCAACTTTCCACAACTTGAAGAGGTTCTCAAGTGGAAGAATATGAATGAAGATGTCCAAGAGAACAGTGAAAGCCATCTAGGCATATTGGATGAAGAGTTAATCCAGTATATTTCTGATCTTCGTAAGAAAAATTCTGAGCAGTGTAAATCCGGAATCCATATGCCATCCATAAGTAGGATGTTCCTGATGTAATTCAAGCAGAGTTCCAAGAGATGAAATTAAATTCATCCACCAAAAATTATTTTATTTGTTTAATTTGAAGAAATTTTGTGAGAACTCTGTTTATTTACCCCAAAATTTGTTTTAAAGCCTAACAAGTGTTGAAATAAACTGAATGTTGGGAGTGACATGTGGTGTACCCTTTATTCAACCCCACCAAGGATTCAAATGGTTATCGTAAAGAAGCAATGCCAACCTTCCAATTGAAATCTGATTATTGGTTTTCATCCATAACCACAAATGTAAAAATATTGGATTCACTCATACATACAAGGTTTTTGCTGTGTTTGTTTGTTTATGTATCAAAAATGTTTGAGGAATATGTTATCCTAACCTTCCTACATTCTCTCACAAATATAAGACATTGGAGGTTTTGTTTGTATTTTTTATCCCGAGAGAGGAATTTATTTAATCTTAAAGGGCAGCGGTTAGATTAGTTATACCCTTTCCTTGGCAGACTGGTCACATAAATGTACTCGTCTTCTAAGGATTAATGGAGTTAAGGGATGACACGGCTTGAAGGTAGGTCTTAGGGTACACAACTCCACAAAGGTTACAAATAGCTAATTTAATGCAATGATAACTGTATATCCTAATGTTTGGTATTTTACTCATATAAAAAAAATCATTACAGAATCAAGATAACTAGGTGATTGAAATGTGAAACAATACTCTATACTGTTTCTGTTAAACTTGAAGACCCTGCAAACACTGAACATTGGAGACAGTTCCTCCACAATCTGAGTTAGGAATACTGTAATTGAAATTTTCTCTCAACTACAAAGATAACTGGACTTCTTCTATATACAATATGCAAGTTAAAAGTTATCAAACAATTAATACACAACAAGATTATTGCAAATGGCAACTAATAAAGGCACTACCTTTCTACTGTCTCATTTGAAACTATTCAAATGTTATACAAACAACATTTGACAGCGAGTTTCCAGAGATATGAGCAGAATTCATTCAATGCTTCAGGACTAGTGCTTAAAAAGTGTACACATTAATTTAAGTGATTTAGAGCCTCCCTCTGGTATTTTCAATTTAATAATTTTTTCTTAAAATTTGTATCACATGAATCGCAAGCACACAGATATTCGATGAGAGCAAATACTGGAAGAGAAACAACGATGAGTTATCTGAAAACATACAGCTTACCTGCAGTGAAAAATTTCTTTATACAAAATATAGAATGAACTGGGTGAATGAGAAAAAGCTTAAACATTAAAGATGAAAATCTGTTAATGTCAAGGATTATGATAAGGCAAATAAAACTGATAATGATGATGCCACTGAAAGAGCAGCAGTATAGTACAAATCCTGTAGCACTGAGCTAAAAGGGCTATGTACTCAGGCAATTCACATTTCTCCATAGGAGATAGCTGAAAACTTTTAAAGTTACCAGCTTGAGCAGGCAATCACATCCCTGTTATGCACTGTTGGCAAAAATTCAGCATGCACAGATATCAGAATGTATCTTAACTTGTCTGGTCTCAAATTACCTCACACTCAGTATCATCACAATGCTCTCTGGCATATTATTCTGAGTTCTGAACTTATGGCTGTGACCTCTAGTGGGGTAGGCATCTGCAAGTTCCAGCTATGAACACCCTATTGAGTAATGTTCTCTCTTTCTGAGGTGCTCTTCTTTGGACATTTTCAATCAATTGACAGTCTGTAGCATAGCTCTGGGACCAGACAATGTGAGAGTACTGTACTCCAAATGGAGAAACACCTCACTTTTAAAGAATGCTATGAGGGACAGAGCATCTAGGTTTGTGAATGTCCTTCTTGAAAGACCTACGGTATATGGTTTGTTGCTTGATTTAACTTCTTACCACAATGCTCTGAGAATTTCAGTTCATTGTCAAAGTGCACAGCCAGGTATTTTCCACATTTTGTCTCTGTTAATATCTATACAGTATATAGATACAGTAAAACTGTGTATAACATGATTACACAAAAAATGCATTATCACTACAACGTGCTTTATAAAGTGTATGTATATTTTAAGAGACAGCAAAATCCCCATAGTATGCATAAGAGGTGGTATGGTTATTCAGTGCTGTGAAGGCAGTAAGCATTACACCAGCCATCTTGGATGCATCCAAGAGGCAGGAGTGCAGCCAGGAGTTGGCTCAGATAAGGGTGGCATCAGCTGCTCCACATTTTTTGCTACACTAGAACTACAGAATTGCACTTGAAGCACCATGTGATATCTTCTGTATTGGGTTTGTACCTTTTATGTACTAATTGTGTGCATTTTGATGGTACCTAAGTATCTTAAGCAGCTTTCTGGTGATGATGCAGCAAGCACGAAAATGAGAAAAAGTTTCAACTTAGAAGTTGCACCTTGTGTGGGTTAAAATAAGACCACCATATGAATATTGAAAAAGTTGAAATGAAACTAATATCTTCCTATTCCTTATGTTCTTCAACAATACAGTACAATATACAATACTGTATACATATCAAGAAACCTTCAAATGGGTATTAAGATAACATTACTGTTGCTGTTACCACCATCCACCATGTGTCACCACTATGTGCATGTACAGTCAGCCAAAGATCTAGCGACCCCATCCTGGATCTCGTACTTGCAATTTTACCTGGCAAATACTTGGTAAAGTAAGGTTGCATGTTAAGGTGATTGAGATTGGTGGATCCTCTTTTGGTTGTATCACTGTCAGGATAAATATTTAACAATCCGAAGGTATAATTTTTATAATAATAAACTATTCGTTGTTATTTAAGATCATGAGAAGTTTCCAAATGTTTGTATATTTGCTTAAATAATGAAGAAAATTTGATCTGAGAATCTTGTGGCAATCCTCGTTGTAGTTGAATTGCCAATCCATCAATATAATTTCTTCATTATTTAAGCAAATATACGGACATTTTTCAACTTCTCATGATCTTAAATAACAATGAATAGTTTATTATTATAAAAATTCTATCTTTGAATTGTTAAATATTTATCCTGACAGTGTTAGAGCTGAAAATAGATCCACCTATCACAATCCCCATTACATACGGTCTGTCAAAAAGAACCCTTAAAACTGTAATTAGGAAAGAACTTATTGATGAGTTTGACGCAAGTAGACAAGTGCAAACAGGCACTAGTCGATCCATAGGTTACCATGATGAGATGTATCAAGTGAAACATGTATATGGAGCAAGTAACAAGATCACTAGATTACAAGATGTTGTAACCGCTAGATTAAGGTTAGGATATAAGTACCTTTGGCAGTATGTTCCTCAAGCAGATGTAAACAAAACTAAATGTAAAGTGTGTGGCCATACATATACACACTTGAACACTACGTCCTCGACTGTGTGAAGATAGAACCTTTTTAGGGACAGGTCCAAGCACACTGTGTGTGAAATGGCACAACACTTCATCTCTAATGGCAAGATAGCCGACATATTAAGATTGTATCCACTTTTTTGCACTTAGTAACTATATCAATTCTCATGTACAGAACCAAATACGCAATGTGCTTGAATACTTCCCACGTAAATGTGAATAACAAAGTGTGAGGCCAGACATACTGCCTGACACGCCTGTACTCACGCATTTGTGAATAAGTTACCCTTTATGTATAGAACTAAACAAATAATGTAAATGAAATACTGTTTAACTTTCAGTGCCATAATATCCTGACAACGGGGGTTAATTATTATGACCCTTTGTAAACCCTACTCTGTAATCCTTTTGCGCTACCGCTCACAGGATGAGTGTGGGGTGCACAATAAAGTAGCCGCGGCAAGCGGCAAAATCAAAATCAAAATCAAATCCCTTCACCAAGAACTACCAGATAAAATTGTGAGTACTGAATATAAGCCAGGGTGGTGTCAGTGGATCTTTGGCTGACTATACCACTTCCCACCACCACGTATCTTAAGATACAGACAAACTGAATTTAATAATTTCATTTGTCTTTAAATCAGGAACTGTATTACAATCATATATATTGATGGTAACATACACAATATTATATTTCTAATAATATTTGGGAGGGGATACAAGTTCAATTATCTTCAGGAATTACCAGATTTCTTGCAATGTAGAATTTTATACAATTGTAAGCTTTTGGTGCAATATTATTATTTCACGAAAAAATATGCATTGACATATTATTGTTGTCTAACAGTTTTAGTGATATAAAAACAATAACAATTATGCTCTTTGGGATATGGTACACAATGCTCATAAGCATTAAGTAACTCTTTCTGTGTTTCAATATCATCTTCCACATTATATTGTACATGTTTCTATTTCATGTGATACAAACTTTATAAAAAAAACATATTAAATTATAAACCACAAGAGAGTAAATACATCAAGATCTTCATATGTCATAAAACCATATATTATTGTATTGGGGAAAATATTTAAAACAAATTAATTTTCTTTTAACATGATGATTCTTAATGACAATGGAACACATGATATCAACATTACACAACTCAAGAATCAAAATAACATGTAAGATATAACATAACCTCTCTGTACCACAGTTCTTCTACTCATTTCATTTAAACAAGAACTACTGTACATATGATTAAAAAAACAATAAAAAATCGCCCATTTAATATCTTATATTATGTTGCCGAGTATGATAATATAGAAAAACTGAATTTATAATATCAAGATCCTCAGCATAACAAATAACCATGATTTATTGCAAATTAAAAAATAGAACTCACTCTTATGCCAGATTCTTGTGGTATAAAAAGGTTTACATTATGTTGTGACAGGAACATGTAACATGTAATATCATGGAATATTAATCATTGGGAAAAAGTTGCACCTGTCTCACTCATTTTTGAGCTAACAGCTAGACATTAAGCTGGGGAAAGCCAAACAATGAATAAAAGATTAGGAATTGTGAAGATAAAAACTATTATTTTGAAGAAACAAAAAGAAAATTCTCATTAATTTTAATTCTTCTGATTTAACAGCAAAATTAAAAATTTCAAAGGGAATATTAAGATTACTAATTGTGATTCCCTCTCTTTCAATTGTGTAATTGTTTCTTCAAAGTAAACAGATATGAATAAGAATCACAGTTTCCTAATGTAAATCAAACTGAGCAACAACAAAACCTTTTTAAATCACCATTTAACTGGAATAACAAGGTAAGTTTGGCACACATGACCATTTAACATCAAAAGACCAAAAAGAGAAAATGGTACCTACCTTGAGCTCCAAGCATTGTTGCTTTCACAGTTGACAATATCTTGAGTTGTGTTCCAATGGTTGGGATGCGCTCACATACTTGCAACAGGTTCTGGATTAAAACAATGATACTGTAATACATAAAAATCCAACCTATTCTTGCATAATCAACAAGTACTGTACTGTACAATAAAAGCTCTTGAATACCAGATTCTCCAAACAGAGGACTCGTCTTTGTTTGTTATTTGTACAGCAGCATTCGCCAACCAGTCTGGCTCAGTGAGCATCTTGTTTAAAATTGCCCCTGCCCATAAATATGTGGCGATATGGTGCTGGCAGCATGAGATGGTAGTTGCATTGGAATGCAGAGTAAAGCATGATTTAAAAAAAAAATTAAGTTCACTTTTTTATCTATGCAATTCTACAACATATAGAACTTTTAATTGTTAATGCAACTCAAGAACATAATCTACGGTAAATTACATTATGAAAGCATTCCTCTCCCACAAAAAATACAATAAAATAAGAATAAGGGACACCTGTGCAGTATTCTGAGTGACACTGTATATACTAGGTAATCATCACACCAAAGCATCATTACTTAAGCACAAATTTAACATAGGCATGATGAACCAGCTCTCAATTGTGATCAGACCATTACAATGCTAAGACTGAAAAAGAAAATTATCTTGACAGAGCCCGACTCCGTGTACCATTCTCAATTACCGTATTTTGTGGCATATAAGACGCACAGCCATTTTAGCAGGGAGAATTTAGGAAAAAACTTTTGTGTAGCCATAGTTTTCTTAAAATAATATACTGTATACAGTTCCAGTAATTGTGAGGAATAAATAAAATTAATACCCATTAAATAAGTTATTGTATGTATTGCCAAAATATTAAATAAAAGCCAAATGAAAGTTTAACACAGTCGCCATTTGCATATACAGTACAGTAGAACGTAGATATAACGCGAGATACCAAGATACATTCCAAGAGAGGTCGCTTTAAACCGAATTCGCACTAAATCGAAGTGTTATTTCAATGGAATAATTTAGTTTGGTACTTGAGAGAAACACAAAATACGAAAAAGATTGAGTCTACCCACATGCACCTCAGCCCATCTCCTAGAATAAACAAAACATTGTTTTTTGATAAAAGAAACACTCATAAATCAGCATAGCTATAATTAAGGGATGGGAAATAGTTTGTTTACTGGCTGGGAAGATGAGGGGGAAGGAGGGAGATGAGGTGATATGTTTGACAGTTGATGCCAAGGTCTATTGCTTATTTATTTATCTGTCCTTGAGAGTGACTAAGTTTTTCTCTTATAAAATGTCACTGAACTGACCTGGGAGAATATATTAACATTGCTGGAATTCTTATAAAATAGTGATTAGTATGAATATATACATGCTATAGTTCGCATTAGACATACAAATTTTAGTTCTAATTACAAATGGCTAAAATTTTTATCTTTTGTGCAAAATATATGATGTTTATGTTCAAATTATTCACTGTCTTGCAAGGATTCTAACAATGCAAATTATATTATCCTAACTTTAGTCTGTGATATTATATAAGATAAAAACTAAAAGCCTGCTGTATGACCACTAAATCCTGGCTGGGGAGGGGGAGGTGACAATGACATGTTTGACAGATGGCGCCAAAGGTCTAGTGAAGTATTTATTTGTTTATTTATGTCTTTTAGATTGAGATTTTGTTTTTTTGTTTATAAAATGTCACAGAAGTGACCAGGGAGAATATAATTTACATTGCTGGAATTCTTATAAGATAGTGATTAATTTGAATATAATCATGCTATAGTTTGCACTAGACAAAAATTTTAGTAATCATTTAGTACATTATTTTTAGTACTGTACATGTACAGTACAGCTTTGCCCTTAGGACAGTGTAGTGTGCCCAGAGAAACATTAGGCATGAATATTAAAATATGATGCGCCAGATAGACTCGCGCAAAATAGGAAAGATTCGCTTTAAATTAAAACATTGTCCTTAATTGTGTGTCGCTTTAAATCAATAATCTTAAATTGAATCGCTTTAAATCGACGTTCTACTGTACGTATTCCCTTCTTCACCATAGCAACGGAGACGCTACCTCTGCGGATTCCCTAGCAAAGATCCCCTCCCCCCACAAACCGCAGCCTCCTCCCGCTCTCTCACAGAGCCAGCTAACTCGTGTACAAAGAACTGTACATTCTGTATATTCCCTTTATGTGTTTGCCCTTCGGACAATTATTTCTTTCACAATGTTATGTAGGAAAGTGTGTGCAAGTAACCGAGTAAAAATAAATGAAGAAAGCTATGTATATCTAACCGAAAATATGAGATAAAAAGCAACCATAACAACTCGCAGCTTGGCTCAGTAGTCTGGTGGTTACAGTGATGAGTTTAACCAACCTGGCTACAATGCCACCAGCGATGTTAACAGATGCAAATGTGAAAAGAGAGTTATCTGTTAACCTTCATTTGTATCAAGTATATGTAGATTTAAAAATAAATGTCACAAGTATGATATTACTAGACTGTCACGCTAGTAAGAGTTCAGAAATGGTTACCGCTTTGCTACCTCTGAAGAGTTGGGTGTCTGCCGTACGGACATGAATCATCTCAGGTTAACACCATCAGTACAGGAGTATATATCAACCTTTTATATTTATAATACAAGTAATTAGTTTTTAAATTTATTAAAACTACTAATATTGTGTTTAAGTAAGCAATAACATATTTTTAATTGTGGAGTTGGGTTAGATACAATTTAGTCTACTGGAGAGAGCAACTGGGGGATTCATTAGCTTACGGGAGACCTCAACTGCAATAGTCCCAACATTACACTTATGTTTGTACACTTACTCAGACCCCTGGAGATGTTGAGAATACTGTACAGTAATTTGTGAAAACTAGAAGATCTATAAATGAAATGATGCCACATAAATAAAGGCTAAAGGAGGATATATTACACACAATAAACAACTCTTGCCCATCGTAACAAATATGAACTTCACATGACTTTCTGATCACTCTTACCGTCCTCATGCGTTTATCAGTACACTCGCGTGCTAGATCCTTTGCTAAACGTGTCACTTCTTCAGATGCTTCAGCAATAGCTTTGGCACATGCAATGAGATCCTTTTTGGTGCCACCTTCACCCCGCACAAGTTGAGATAATTGGGCCATTAGTAGTGCCATTTTCTTTGCAGCTGCAATGATGTCATTATCACGTGATGACCACTGCTTGACTTCTTGGTGAAGACCATGAGCAGCCATCTTGTAGAAAAAAATATTTTGAATTAAGTATCAAAGATTCATCAAATGTTTAATTTGATGCAAATATTAAAAAGTTTCCATGAAATGTAATGAAGGATGTAAAATCTGGAGTGACAGAGCCAAAAAGGTGTGGTAGTGTTATTGAGTCATGATATGTGGAGTTGCGTGACAGAACATAAGAGATCAGTAAAAAAAAAAAAATATGGATAGGATTAAAAGCTGGGACAGAAGGATGGGTTAAAAAAGTACACATGCATCAGGAAATGAGAATAACAAGGAGGAAAGAGAGGTTCTGAGACCTGAGTAATGGTTTACAATACAGTGGACTGAATAACATCAAAAGAAAGAGGAAGTAGCATTAAGGAATGAGATAAGACTAACGACAGTATAAGTAAACTATAAGAACTGTTCATAGTGTATTTTTCAAAAGTGCCAATACTATTTCCAAATGAATAGAAATAAATAATTTTCAACATAAAAACAAAGCATACACGCATGCCCGTGCACACACATGCATATACACGCACACACAGCTACTGCTACTCTGCTGTCACTCGGAATTGAGTATGATGATCATCCAGCTATGAGACAATGATGTGAGATATTAAAGATGCCAAATTCATTGGTGAGCTCTGAGGTAACTCGAGAGGCCGATACGAGACCAGCAAGACAATCCACAGATATTGTACGTGTGGGGGGGGGGCTACATCTAGCACAGTGGGGGCAGCGGCAGTGTTTTTCCGGAACTGGAGCTTGTCTGCCTCAGTGTGCAGTCGAGCTAACATAAAAGTACAGTATTAACATCTTCTCATATGGTTCTCCTCCAAGTATTATGGTGAAGTGATCGTCTCCCAGGTGAAGGGGCCGATTTGGCACTTTCTCCAGCTTCTCATCATCAGGGTCCACCTTCTTTTGCCTTTGTATGATGCCCTCATAGAATGGCTTATAGATGGTTGGAATGCAGTTCATGAGGACTGTAATGTCATTGACTTTCTCATGGGAGAGCTCTACAGATTTAGTATACTTTAGTGATATATCAGTGGAGGAGAGGTCAAACAACTGAGGGTCACATAATACTGGCCCCTCCCCTTCTGTTACTTTACCTGTATGCCATTACTGTGGTATGCACTCTGAATACTGTATCCCTACTTGTAGTCATGGGAGTAGGTGAAGACTTTGGCACTCCACACTTTCATTGTCACCTGAACTCAGAATATGCATCTGTGAGCACTAATAATGCAAACAAAAAATGAAGAACACTCATGTGGTGTCTGATAGCAGCAGATATCTAAGGAAAACTATGGTTACTCCTCCCAAGGCCACACACACACACACACCCCCCCCTTGCATTCTGGGTCCTCATATGCTTAGCAAGTGGTATCACAGCTTTGGTCACGTTCTGTGGGCATACACCAGTATTCCGTTAAGGCTGTAATCTACATACACCACATGGAAAGTGAGCAAAATTCCGAAAATTTTTCTTTAAGTACATTTTTTCCTTGTTCCAAAGACATATCTCCCTTCCCAGCCTAGCAATCATTACTAAGAATTGCCTGGGAAACACGTAGGGACAAGAATCTCATTTCTCCATGGTTGGTTGATATGTCCGTGTTCTTCTAAGTTCCTCAATTGAATTCAGCTGAATCAAGGAGACTGGCAACTGATTGTATAAGGAAGGCACTGTGTAGAAAGAATGAGCTGCAAAAAACATTCACACATTGCTGTCAATTCAAGAGGGTGATAAATAATTATGACCAGTGTAATACTATTTTAAAGTGTACTTTAGATAAAACTAAACCTATACAACTTCAGTTAGCTGAACTCTTTACATTCACAAAAAATGAATAAGAAGGAAGGAGCTAATTTACTGGCATACTCACAAATGTAAGTACAGTAGGTGAGGTTATCTAATGCCAGCCTGGTTTCAGTACAATACTGTATATCATTTCCCATATGAAGCATTAATTTTTCACTGTAAAATCAATTAATTAATCTTCTGACATTAAAATCATTAAACTAGCATGAATACACATACAAAAAGAGAGAGAGAGAGAGAGAGAGGGAGAGAGAGAGAGAGAGAGAGAGAGAGAGGGCAAGTGCAGGTGTGTGTACAACCATCCCTACAGCTTATATGATTTTAAGCTACTTTGTTATGTGGCATGAAAGGTAGATCAAGTCGGTACTAAACCCACTTACCATGATGGGCTGGTTGGGTTGTGGGACTTCACTGAACATGTTGGTCTCCTCTTCATCATCAGTCTCAGGTGGTGGTGGACGAGGTGGGGCTTTCTCGCCACCTGGTAGAGGTGGCCGTGGTGGTGCCTGATCTGTTAAATTCAATGCTCAAATTTAAATAATATTGAAAGAAAAATTAAGCATACAGATATATTAAGATTACTCTTGTAGTGATAAGATTATAATAAATGCATAAAGTAGAACAAATACCACCCAAATGTTAGAAACAAATGAAATGAAGCTATATAATATACAAAAGGCATAAATATATGTCCTGAAGTTTGAATATATTTACACAATTACCTCAATATGTTGCACAACTACTTCCAGGAGCCCTTGTAAACATTATCAAAAATAAAAGTGAACGTATATTTAGTAATCATTTTTTTCTTAAACCAAATTAAACTTTTCTACCACTATTCCTTACTTTAATAAAACAACCATGCATGGTATACCTTATAATTATCCAACATGCAAATACAGTGTCATGCTTACAACTTTAATAAAGGTCGAATCTAGTACGTCAAGCTCATAAGCATATTACACATGTACAGGTACTGCATTAACTAAACACGAAGTAATAATACATTCAAACTCCACAAAACAAGAACCATGCAACAATACACTTACAAAGGAAATTATAATGCTGGTATAACACAATATAAACAATACATTAAATTTACTCAATGAAAGATAAATATGAAATGATTAAATAATGAAGAACTTGCAATATGGTCTGGAATATCAATACATGCCATTACAAGCATGTTGGAGCTCACTCTTCTTGTGAGCGGTACACAGCAGGCCATGCATCAATCTCGGCACTTACAGCTAACATCATAAGTAACATGTCATCAATGTGATATAATAGGCATTTTGAGCATTGACCAGGGGTATAATGCTGTACTGAGAGAAAATAATGAAGTATAGAGAAAAGGTAGCATAATGATCACTGCTTTATCAACATTACTATATAACATCACATTCTTACATTCTCCGTTCTACCTGTGCAAAGAACAAGTTACCATTTGATATGTGATAAAGAGTGTTCATTATAAACAACCCAAAAGTTTAATTATTTCTTGGTAGAACTCCTGAAAGAAAGAATGAAGAGAGTGTGAGTCTACACAACCAGGAGGATGGAGAGTGTGAAACTCTCCACTTTTATATCCCACAGTTTGGGAATTAACTACCAGCTACAGTACAAGAGAGAACAAGGATCCCTACATCACGGGTCTTAGAGTATATCTTCAAGCTAGCAGAGCATACATAAGGGGTGGGTGGAGTGGGGAAATTTTGGTTATTTTCTATTATTCAGCATTGTATACGTACCGGGTATATATATATAGTATATATACAATGTGTATATATATATATATATATATATATATATATATATATATATATATATATATATATATATATATATATATATATATATATATATATATATATATATATATATATATATACACACACACACACAGTATACCTAAAAGTCCTGTTATCTATCCACTATCCATTTAGTCCAACTATCAAAATTTTCCTTCACATGTACCAGTCAGATTTAATTCCAGGTATTAGACCTTGGAAGTTTATAAGTCAGTGCCACAGGGGCTTCAACCAATGCTTTGTGCATCTCACATTACTTTAGTTTTGATAGACAGGAGTCTCTACACTTGATGATCAGTTGTATTCAACAGTGCTATTTAATTGCATTCGTGAATATTGTATCGCAAATTCCGTAACTGTTTTAGCTAACAACACTAATATTTAGAGGATTACCGGGCAATTAAAAGAGCTAATTATGCAATACAGTACTGTAATATCGTCAAATTTTGGTATACACTACTGTATACAGTATACAATAATGGCCCCTTGCACTGTGCAGAATAGGATATAATATACAGCAGAATCCTGGTTATCCGACACCTACTGGGATTGAGAGGTGCTGCATAAAGAGATTTTCCGGTTAGTTGAACCTCACTCTTAGTATTCCCCAATAAATCATACAATGAATACTGCTACAGACTGACCTCGCAAATTCGTCTCAGAAAAATGGACTTCCACTCTATAACTGGGAACAGTATAAGTAACACTGTACACTACTCTTCATGATATTAATAAAATTCCAAAATTTCCCCCTCCAGGAAGGCAAAATCAAGACTGCAACATTCCAATCTGTTTTTATCCATCCCTAAATACTGATACAACAAAACAACCTCTGTAGTGGGAATAAGGGTCCAACGGCAGCTCATCATCCGTGTAGCTGTCATAGAGAGCATCAGTTGTGTCTCCTGAGGGCATTTAAGGAATGGCTTCAGTATAGCTCTCACAGAAACTTGTGTTACACCTTTTACATGTTTGTTTTTCCTAGCGCAACTAAATAAACAAAGTTAATAAATTTACAAATCCCTGTACTGTATACAGTATATGTCTTTCAAGAGGGAAAATTATGCAGTATGCATCACTGTCATCAAAATATAGTAACAAGTGTCATAAAAGCTAATGAAAATCTTAATTATTCTGAGGAATAATATTGTACCACTCAATTTCTTATGATTTAACCATGCGCAAAAGTATCAAACTGAGGTGCGGAAGTAAATGCATGAAATCTTATTAATCTTTTTCAGATTAAAAATCTACTATTGTATAGGTTATTTATCCTAAGAAGTAAGATTATATTGAAATATATTTTGTTGATAATGAACAGAAAACTGTATATACTCTCTCAAGTGCCTCAGAAAGCTTTGTTCAGTACCTCGGCCCCATTTTGGTACAGCTGATAATAACCCAGCACTTGGAGACCGGAAGGAATATGGCCGCTCCAGTGAACTGTACGGAGATGGAACACCTCCAAGTTCACTGCCAACTGGAGTTGGGTACATGTAAATGGTGTCAGTTACACAAATGATATTAAAAGTTTTAATTATTACTATAGTATAGGTGTTTAAGATAATGTTCAAAAGGAATTTCTGAAATAGTGCAGCTAAAGACAACTAATTGCATATCAAAACTAATATTGAGATAAAAATGTATGCTTTATAACAATGAGAAAAGTACAAAAACCCAATCTAAATTTCGTTTTTCTAGCAAAACAGATAAACATTAGTACCTATATTATTAAGAAGGGGGTGAGTACCATGAGGAAAGTGTCCATTACTGCTACCATAATCTGTAACAAGCCCAAACAACCACTTAGCAAAAAATAAAATATTCCTCCTTAAATAATAAAGACAACTAAGGAAAACCATGAACTTATAGAGTAACATGTGGTCCTGGACCTCTCCATATACCCACTGTACAGTATACAAGTATAGAGGATCAGTGTCAATTACCCCATCTTTGCAAATCATCAATGCACACTCATGTTCATCAATTTGTATTTCTAACCAAATTCCTTGTCAGGCTTTCTACATATCAAACTACTCATTCATATTTCTTCTCCTGATTTTATTTATTTATTTTTTTTTTTTATCTGCATTTTTTAATTCATAATTTTTTTTTGCACTTTATATTTATATCCCTTGTATACCAGATGCCTAAGCTATCTTAATGCATTCTCATCCATTTATATCACCGTGAACTTTTATCAACTGCTGTACATGCACTCTTTCTACTTTTCATTCTTTAAGCTTTAATCCCCTGAAAGCTTATACAGGGGTAATATTTTGGATACTGTCTATCTCTACTGCTCTTAGTCTTGATCAATCACTGCTCTGGAACACCAGTTTCACATCCATATACATTATGTGAGCACTCCATGAAGCTTTCTCTCACTTTCTACATCCCAATTCGTTAATTATCAGTACTCTGTATTATCAATGTTCAGCTTGTTCTTTCTTGCAAAAGTTATTAAATTTTACTTCATTCCCATCTTCTTAAATATCGATTCAAAATATCTAAATTACCTCACAACTTCCAGTTCTTCTGTTAAACTGACAATACACCGAGACTGCCCTTCATATTATTAAGCATAACTTCAAAATCTAATGCCTTCTGCCAAGTGACTTATCTAATGTACTTATTAAGCCCTTGGGCTGCGACCAAGTTGATAAATAGATTAATTCATCCTTCATCATCACTGTTTTAAGGCCATTTTCCACGCTTGTGTGGGTTATCCCTTGATTAATGGAATAATAGGGAGTGGCATTAACTTCCTGCTGAGGGGTTTAATCATAGTTTTTTCTCTCCTTCCTCAAGACTGGGCTTGGTATAAGTATGTTATCATGGTAAATTTGACGAACAATTTATATGGAATTATGAGTAGGAATTCGACTTTCTTCAGGAGCAAGTAGGTGATAACTCACCACAACTTAAGTCTTTGAATGCAATCCTCCCTGAAAACTTTCTTTCAGTCACGTGAAACTTGTATATTATGACAACATCGTATACAGGTATCCCCTGATTCAATCTCCCTATCTATGATATTTTGCTCTAGTGATGATAATGTATTAAGACCACCTCCAAATTAAAAAAAAAAATTGCATGAATGATGGCCATCGTCTGGCCAATGCAGTATATAAAATGCATCTCTTAGTGCAGTCACACAGTGCACTTTGGTCCCAAGTTTTGTTCCATGGTGATCGCACATGGCCATGATCATGTAGTTCAATGATTATCGGTCAGTATTGATGTTGAGACTTATAATTTCTTTTTACCTTTCAGTGAGAGGACATCACTAATATTCATATTTTACTCTGTTTTTGTGAGTGTGAAGTGATTTTGGCTATGTTTTTTTGTGACTAAAGTGTTTTGCCTCTGCTGTTGTGAACATGATGTGAGCAGTGTTGACCAAATTAACTTTATCATCAATCAATGTGTTTTTGTGACAAGTGCTTTCGCTCTGTTTTTGAGACTGCGTAATGATCAGCGTAACTTTGAAAATATCTGGGAAGGACAATGCACCCAGGAAAACTGTGTCTTTGGAGGTGAAGCTTAACAAAGAGAAGCTGTGTGGGAGCCAAGAGTGACATTTCCACTCCACCTTCGAGAGTTCCCTTAGCCTCGAAGGGGACATATAATGATGACCAGCCTTCTTGTTAATGATGTGGGGACTTTTTTTTTAATTGTGTTGTAGGTATAGTATTATTGTACGAATTTTATTTTCGGTGATAGATATACTGTACTGTAGGTGTAGGACTGGCTGGGAACGTATCCCATTAAACTCCATGTTATAACAATCCAGATTTACAATATTTTGACCTGTGATGGAGTTTTCAGGAATATAACCCTATCATAACTAGGGGATACCTGTAGTTATGCACCTATAAGAAAAATCAATTATGAATCTTCCTAATAAACTTTGCTATAAATATTATTGTCTGAAGGGCATATAATGTACTCGGTTTAATCAGTTTGCTCATTAATCTGTCTTTCCATAGTTTTACATGATCTTCATATTTGGCAAGAATATCTTTCTTGGGGATGCTAAAGTCAAGTTTGAACTACAACATCTATCACTGTGTTTTTCTCTGACCCCTAGACTTACTGGTGCAGGCAATTAACTTCCTGGTGGATGAGGACGTTCTTGTTCCATCATATTTTTTAAACTTTTTTGAACGAGTACAATTTGTATCATCAGATTCCCTGAGCAATGCCTCATGATGATTAAATATCCAACACTTTCAATCTTTAATACAGTACCTAAAAAGTTATTCTATTATACATACTATGTACTTCCAATGTTAGCATGGAGAATTCTTCTTGCCAAATGCTTATTGGATCAGATCGGAAATGCTTAACAAATATAGCATATAACTTATTATGAAAGAATTTCTGGACAAAATGCTAAAGTCAACTCTAATCAAGCCAAACAGTAGAATTACACACCATTCCACAAAAATGAGAAGGAAGCCATTTCAGCCATAAATGACATCTGACTATATATATGCAGCCCAATTCCTTTTCAAACACAATATGATATAATGATTAATATCTCAAGAGAGCACAAAACACCATGCCTTTAAGCTATGTTCCTGAAAAGAGAATAAAGTATATCATATAAACAATGACCATGCCAGTGGCCAGTGAAGTAAAGGCTAGAAGCTAAGCACACAGTAATTATAACACCTCTCTTTGTGTATAGCTGTTTCAAGGTGTTCTTTTAAGTATCAGCTTCTAGATTCACTTCTGAAAAAAATAAAAAGCTATGACCAACATGCCAAAAAAAAAAGAGAGGGGCATTCAGTCATTTACCAACATAACAATTCTAAACTATGTGTCTGTTGCCTATAGTTCTTAATTGCATCTCACCTTGCAAGTCTCCATAGTAATAAGGTGCTTGTGAAAAAATGATGAAAAAACAATCACATGTGTAATGTACAGACAAGTGTGGGTGACTGATAATGAGTGACATAACACAAAATTTCCGGTCCAATTAAGAACAAGAAAAAAAAATACATTATGGAGATCAATACAATGAATAAAAATGAATAACATTACAGAATACGGTATACAGAAGACTGATGTTGAATATTTACACTTAAATAATCTGTTTTTGCATACAAAAGTTTGTCATTGTGTTCCACTAGTGTTCATTCTTAACAACAGCTCAATTTCTCCCTACACACAAACCCTCCCTGGTAACTACACCTACTTAAAAATCATGTTTTCATTTTCAAAGTACCTGTATATGTAATATTTTTTTTTAGTTAAATATCACATGGACAACTTGAATACACTATCATTAAATACAATAAGCCCCTGCCATATCATATCAATGTGTTCCAATATTGCTGTGATATAACTGACCACAGTACTCTTGGATCATAATCCTTTGGAAAAAAATCTGTGCACTGGTAAAACTTAATTTTAACTTGTAGGAAAATGGATGGAGCAAAGTGCTTACCCCTGGGATTACAAAAAGCAAGGTGTTTCTGTGATGCTAACTTCAGGCTTTATCTTCTGCTCCAGCTAAAGCTCTTCCACCATTGGGGAGGTAAGAATGGGGAGTAACAAGTGTGTTACTTTAGAAAGCAAAAAAATAACTTGAGGTAAAGCAACTGACAGAAACAGATGGCAGCAGACAGAAGACCCCCAGAAAAATGAAGCAAAAGAGAGAGAGTTTGGGGGTGACTTCTCAGCTCAACATTGCTTCCCCCCACCCCTCACAGAGTGACTGAGTGTGGACAGCATAGGCACCATACACATATAAGGTTATGCTGTAGACCGCAATGTGCGAGGCTGAATGAGAAGTGATACATGGCTACAAATTTGAAGGTGGTGTGGGTAGTTATATAAAGTGTTGTGGGTGATGGTGTGGTGCAGGTAGAGGCATGAGGTTGTAATATGGATAACATTACCTCACCCCCCTACATCTGATCTCAAATGGGAGGAAACCGGTTGCTTTAAGAGGTACAGCACTGATACTGCCCCTTCACGTCTCAATTTATGCTGAAGACTTCGAAAAAGGTTCTCTTTGTTAGATAGTTTTCTCCCCTTAAATGGTGCTAAGTGTACATATATACTTAAGGTGGAGACGATGTAATTTTGACATTCTTAAATATTATCTGCCTTCTTACATTTTCTGTTATGTGGAATAATGATCATACAAATGTTTGAGAATCCAGATCAGCCAATGATAACATATTTCTAGGCTTGCCATGGTCCTTTCTGGACCTCTTTACAGCTCATGGCTGGTGTGCTCAGTTTGTTGCTTCTGCCATTAAATTATTTGATCTGATAGTATATAATAATTTTAAATTCCAAATTCGGTTCATAAAATTAAAATTGAGAATGGCACAATACTTCAGCCAACATGCACCATATACCTGGAGATTTGGGAAAACTTTATTCTATTGAATACAAAAATATTAAGAACAGGATGGAGGTAATCACAATAACCTAGACAGCATGTAATTTTGTTTAATTATATGAGCATGATCAGTCTTTAATTGTTCCCATAATTATACTTACACTGGGAAGCAAGTTAATTGATTAAATATAATAAATTAGAATAACAATTGTTCAAAGCAAGTCAATGCAAGAGACTAAAAGTATATCAAAGTTCAAAATGAAATTCTTTATGTAATTAAATGTCAAGGTAAGGAGTTTTGATTCTGTGGTCATGGCTGAAGTGTGCACAGGCAGCTGGTCTTGGCAGTTCACTACAGTACAGACTGCAATAATCTGAGCACTGTGCCTGAACATAAAATATGTTCCCTAAAGAGTTTGTTCTGAAAGTGAAATTTGATGTGCATGGCCATGGTGTAGCACAGGTTTACTGTATTTAAATTATACTTATGCAATTAGCTTTCACTTCAGTGTAAGAGAAGATAAACAAAAGATAAAAGAGAACCTCCATATTTCTTATCAAGGAGAGATTTTAATGGCTAATTATCAGTCAATAACCTGAGGTTTGTTTATTTATAGATTTAAAATTATTTTAATTTTGATTACTTTCTTTTCTGTACATACTAATAATTTAATGTATATATACAAAAAAAATCTACTTTAGAAGTTTTCAGATTGACAAGTATTGGTCAGTACATATTTGACCTTGACAACTGAGGAAACGCCTACAAGAAATAGCAGTCATGTTCTCATGTAATTTACTTAGATATGAATCACTAAAGTAATGTGATACTGTTCTGTATTATGTACAAACAAAATCTTTTGTTTTATTATAAAAATAAAATAAAATGTTTGTTAACTGATTATTCTTTTTGGTCTAACTAACAGTGGGGGATTTTAAGACCTGGCATTCATTTTGTGAGAAAACACACTCATGAGCTACAGCTTCTTACAAAAATATTAGAACTGTCTAACTAAAAGTGAGTACTGTAGGCCGAACGGCCTTTTAAGGGCAGTGTGGACGCAGAGGATCTCTGTTCAAGTTCAGTGATCTTTCCTATTAATGAGAAAAAAAATGTACAAATTAGCTGAAAACTATATAATGCTTAAGAGATGAATATACACACTGGTGTCCTGTATAAAAAATGGTCAACACTTTTGTAAATACAGTAGAGTGAGTAACAGATATCCATAAATGCGAAAAGGTGAATCATATGACAATTTTACCTAAAAAAAATATCAACACAGAAACATTTTAATTATAATACACATTACTTTTTATCTCGTCAATTATCAAAGTATTACATTATTGTTATATTGCACAATTAACCCTTTTGAGACTGCAGAGGTGTAGTATCTGCATATCTAGAACAAAAAGTATATTTGCAGGACTGTATCTACTGAATTTATGGAGACAAACATCTATTTTAGAAATGCAGTTTAGATTCTTAGTAATCAAATGTTCTTAGCTTCCTCAAACCAGCTACCAAAGCTGACTAAGACATGATAAAATACCACTGCTTGCAATAAAAATGTCATACTGTATTTGGTTACCATACCCCACTTCCTCCATTAACAAATGAAAATGCAATGTTTTTATTTGGGGTTGACAAACTGATTATCAATGATTCTTGACATAAAACACCTCCCTGTGTGACCTGCCCAACTTACCTGCTGTGCCATATACAAGGCAACAACTGGAAGGTGGATATTCCTATTAACTGACACACTAAATGTTCATTGCTGCCAGTTATATAGTGAATACCTATACCCTTTGGGAGTACAGTGTACAGTATAGTTAGATTTTTAATTATTTCCTTGCACTGGACAGACCCCACTCTCTTTTATAACCTTATTTGTATGGTGTTTGTCTATTTGGAGATAAAAAATGTAAATGAAAAATGAAGTACAGTAATCAAATAATGGTAGATTTGCTCATATTTTGCCCCCTGAGTACTGTGCAATCTAATGATTTTAATGATAAGGCCTTACAATCCCAATACCCCTGTATCTTTGAGTGCCTAAAGAGGATTGAAGTTAATGTTAGGGGAATTATCTCATCTTAAATATACAGTACTACTATAATTGGTGCATTTAGATTTAAACACGGACAATTATTTTCTAAATGCATTACATATCATACAGAAAAAAAAGAAAAGAAATATACTGTACTGTAATTTCTCTTAATTCATTTCCCATGTCACTGGTCTACAGTATACCACTGTAAGAATGTCAGTCTCCAGTCGATACTCAAAACCCTTTTTATGAATCAAAGTAATTCCCTATAAAAAGAATTAAACAGCAACAGTTACAGCAGATACACAATCAAGCTTAGAAAACAATACAGTTTCTTGCATATACCTTCTGTACTGTAAACAATTTTTACTTCTGGAAAAAGCTTTCTATTCCATGTTTCATGTTAGAACAATGATAACCTACATGTTGGTGAGATATCAAACACACTTCCATTAATTTTGTGTTGCACCTAATGTTAATTAGCATTTCAAATGTAAAGCAAATATTATATGTTTTCCACCAAGCCTAGTACACCAACAGCAGGGTTAAGAAACACATCTCCACCCAATTATAATATGGATCCAGACAAAAAGAGCAAAATAGCACACTGGGATTATGGGGAGGAAGGTTGAAGGGGTCAAGAGTGAAACTGGTGGTTGCTATATGTAGCACCAATACCAGCACTATGTGAGATCAGTATAGATTATCGATGAGATACTTTATGGATCATGACAAAAGTTAAAAAAAGAAAAGAAAAAAAAAGAAGTGTTTAGCACCAATGATAATTATAAAATAATTTTATATTAACTAAAAGGTGTAATTTTTAATCCCGACCCCTTCGAATTTGAGACATTAACAAATTCTGGGCACATTCCATGCAGAGCTAATATGGCTATAGGCTCTTTGATTGGATGTATGATCTAAGGCAGAATTTTTTTCCATTATCTATAACAAGCAGCATACCACTTTCATGATCCATATTCCCAACAGATGGTAAATATTGAACATTTGCCGACAGATACTAAACAAACAATGGAAAAAAAAGCTCTCTGACTCTGCTTCAACTCAATTTTCCAGGTTACAAAAGGATATTGAGTTATGGAACATTCTACACTGTGGTCATTCATGAAAAGCTTAAAACAAATGTACAATTCTTGTGAATGTGAACTGTCTTAGTGGACCTTGGCATTCATCAGTGCCTTGGTACATTTACTTTCCATATTTCAGAAGCTAAAAATGAATCTGAATTATGCCCTCCCAACTTAATACATGACCAAAATGAGCCAGCCAATTCAGGGTCCTGTCTACCAACTCTACCTCTCTCAGGCAAGCGAATGCCTTGGTACTGTGAGGGGGTAATTGCTCTCTCCGGCTCCCCAAAGATTTTCATGAAATCCACCTTAAAAATGTCATCATCAAGGTCGATTTGTGGAGGGGCTGGTGGCCGCGGGGGAGCTGCTGTTGGAAGTAAAGGCACATATGCTCAGCATACCTATTATGCCTATAGGCAATACACACTCTTCGGCTGAAAATATTCTTTGCAGCAATAAACCTTACATCTAATTCAGATTTCATTACCATAAGAGAAGTTGAATACAGTAAATGAAGAGAAGAAACAAATACGTACAACAGGCACCCATCACCAGTCAAAATTTTTTTTTTTGCAAATTCCTCAATCCACCATGAGCACAGTTCTTACAAGTCAGCTTACCTGATGCATCCATAAAATAACAGGGTGCTTGAAAAGTTTGGTCTGTAGTTAATATTCAGAAATGTACTGAACTCAAAGCATTATAAACTGATAAAAATAATGAAAATTTGAACAGTCCTTGATTGTAAAAATATTTCAAATAATTATTTGCAATATGAAATTCATACACTTGTGAAAATTATTTGCTTATGGTAAATAAAAATGACCACAGGCCTAAAAAATGTGGCTGAATATAAGAACTGTTCCTACATAGAAATATATACAATATTTTCACAAAGAAAGCTTTTATACAACAGTCAAACAAAGCAACTTTTGTAATGAGAAAATAAGAACCAATATCAATATCTTTTCATTTCTCTTTTGCAATATATATATGTTTTGCTTAAATTGCTAAATGAGCCAGTCCTACAACTGGAAAAAAAAATAGAAAACCAAGAATCTGTAAATAGTTTGTGATTGCCTTACCATTAAGTGAGAGAGAGGACATGTCTGGAGGTGGTGGGATAATAGGTTCTTCTTCAGGATACACCATCACTGCTCTTCTTACTTCACCAACAGCACTCAGAAGCTGTTCAAAATAAAATTACATAGTCAAGTGCTGGCAATTACATAACTGCCATAGTTTCATGAATCTGGTATTAAATCTACAGTACATATAATTGGCAATAGTGATATCCCCGTTAGCCGGAACAATTGGTGCAGAGCACTTCCGGGAATGAGAGATTTACGGGTAACAAGACAACTCTCTCAAAGCCGGAAAAAAAAACGCTCATCCCCGGAATTTTCCAAAAATTTTCGGGTAACGGAAAAATGTTCTCAGAAGTTCCAGAAATTGCCCATTACATCAAATCCGGAAAAAACTCTCCCATCCCTAGAATTTTCCGGGTATCGGGAAAATTTTCTTGAAATTTTCCAGAAGATGTGCCCCTCGGAAAATCGTTCTCAAAGCCGGAATTTTCCGGAAAATTTCGGCTTTGAGAACGATTTTCCGAGAAAATGTCAATTCCGGCAATCGGAGAGTTCCGGGTTTGAGGGATTCCGGCTAACGGAGATATTACTGTAATTCTAATTTCTATTCATTAATAAATATTCATACCTTGGAAAAAACAACTATTAATTATTAATTAATAAGAAAATCTGTAATAGAATTAATAAATTTTCATAAACTGTATCCCTTAAGTTGCTCTTATATTTCTCAACATATTCTGGATCTCAGAAGTATGTCTAAAGGAGGGAGTTTGGTAACCCGACACATTTATTATTCTTAATCTCTTGAAAATGTTGACAGACAAGAGGCTGGTCTTAAATAGTAAGTTACTGTATCTCAAGTGCATCAATTTCTCTCAAACTACATTGTGCTCTACTTTGCCATTACTGTACATTACAAGAGGGACAACATGGAACACATAATATTTTAATAACCTAAAGGAAGGGTTGATCCTGAAATCCCCTTCATGTGGCTGAGCCCATAGATCGGTGCCTCAGAGTAATGTATCAACTATGTAGCTTTGAGAACCTCTGACACTGGCCGAGACTGATCTTACAATAACTAACTCCCCATTTTAAGCACAAGCTATAAAAGGCCACAAGTCAAAAGATTTCCTTAAAGAACAACACTGAGCTGGAGGCCAATGAGTTATGAAGACACAATGGCATACAACTCATCAAACAATGTCAATGATCTTGGAGGAATTCCAGTACAGTAATATCTAACCAATTTCAACTAACTTTACTACCCATTGTAACAAGGGAGGGCACACCAGTCACTAACCTACACTCTCATTCATAAGGAGTTTAAGAGATCAATTCTGCATTTATGAATTGATGCAATATTGATAGCCAGAACAAGTAAAGGAAAGATGTAGTTGGATAATGTTCAAGTGCTAAAGTGTCACAGCACATTGGAGGTCCGGCACTGGTATTTTATTTATATAAGAATTTATGGCATCAACAGATTTCTGAATTAATGGTTTCTGAAAGTTGAGGACATTATTGGCGTATAACCACAAAATCAGCATCCAAGTTGAGAAGCAAACTCCTAGTTAGGACTGGACATAACTATTGCTTGATTTGTGACCTTCTGAAGGCCTTGTTTGCAATGCATTGGTAGACTGATCCCAAGATTGGTCACAGTTACAGGTGTTTCTGGGACCTCACCCCAAAAATCATGGTTAGTGCTTTACTAGTCACAACGTAAATGGTATCAAGTCATAAGAGACTGTCCTGTCTAATGCTCTTGAGAATATCAATACATCTGAAAAAAAAAGTGATAGGCATTTTGATTTTTCAGTAACAGAAGCAAGCAAGCTGAAGCCTGCAGTTACTGTCTGTGGAATCTGGAGAATAAAAGTAAACCCTTAATAACTTGGAATCCACTAACTTGTAACACAGAATGGCAGTAAAATACTGTAGTCAATTTCAAATAATTTTTTAATTATTTTTTACATAACTAGCAATATTCTGAGATATGATAATGCAATCTCATAATGGCATAGCAGGTGAGACCCATACAGGATGCATGGGAGACTCTACCCGTATTCCATTCCTATCTCCCCTGCTCTGTGTGCACATTCTAGATGAATGATTGTGTGATTTTATGTGAATCTAATGTGAAATAGGCTTGCTGTCAGGTAAATCATGAATTTCTTACAATAATTTGTATAATCCATGATTCACGTGTATAAAAATATAAATAGTGGTGAAGGTTTATTACTATTATAAATACAGTGACCCCTCGTTTAACGAACACCTCGGTTAACGTAATTTCGTTTAACGAACTGCCTTCCATAAGGATCTTCAATTCGGTTAACGAAAAAAAATTCGGTTAACGAAGTTCTTACGAACCGACCTCAACATGTTTTCGCTTGCACTGACCGGGCAACCAGCTTTAGTATCAGTCCGCCAATACATTAATCGGTTCTAGGGCTTAAATTCCTTACTATTTTAGTAAATATCAAGAAGTTTATACTATTCAATAATTTTAAAAGTTTAATATTCAATTTTTTAGTCATTTTAACAATTATTGAACATAACTGAAGGTAAAGTGACTAGTTTAATGTGCGGCATCCAGCCTCTTAACACAGCAAACAGGAGTTAGTCTCTCTCTGTTTTCACTGGAGGTAACATCTTGCTTGAGACTCTCTTCAACTAAACACTTTTTTTCTGTGTTTCCAAGCAAATTATTGGTCATTTTGAAATATATTTTACATATTGACAATATATAATGCAGTGCAGTGTTGATTTAAAGAAAATAATCTTGAATTACACCAAGAGAGCTAAAATTTTATGGGTGAAATGGCGCCATGGGATGACTTCTCTTCCACCCCAATGCCTTCTCTTTTTCCTTCTCCTCCACCCCCATTCTAAATCCCATCATCATCATCCAGGAGCCTTCTACATACACACCTCAAAGTAAGTGAACTTTTCTACCATTTTTGTTGAATTTAGGAAATTTTCGGTGAGCTGGAACCAATTACCCAAAAACCCATTGAAACAATGGTTTCGGTTAACGAACTTTTCGGTTAACGAACGACCTTCTGGAACGGATTGAGTTCGTTAACGGAGGGGTCACTGTACAGTAATTAGTCTAATGAATAAGAGTGGCCATCAGATAGTTTCACAGGATGAGATGAATTGACTCTCCTTGTCATTTACTTTAAATTTAGTAAATTAGTTTATATAAATAAACTAATAATCGATTACCAATATAATTTAACAATTAATAAGAAGGAACATTGAGTTAAATGAGTCTACAGGATACATTAAACTAACAAACTTTGGGTCAAGATATTGGCTGAGGCTTGGAACAGGAACACAGCCAGAGCTGTATACACACCCGGAGAGACAACACATCCTACAAGAGTCAAGATATTGAGTTTTACTTTTAAGTGACGTCCACGTACCTCAATGCTTCAATGAACAGCTGGTTGAAGTCTTTACAGAACTTCATTAGACATTCATAAACTCTTCCTATAATAAGCCAAGTATCTGAGAGTACCGTGAGGTGAAAAGTGGAATTCATGGGATAGGGTGGAGAAAGATGTATGCTTCCATTTTACAGTACTTTTAATATATTAAATTAACAAATGTATAAGCTCACTAGATTCAAAATTCAATAATCAGCAAATCTAACAGGAAAATCATTCAGTTGATATCAAAGGAATACATCCTTAAGTAATAATAAGTGTCCACTGTGTCTGTCATTTACATAAATACTCGTATCTATAATAGGTATCCAATGTTCTTGTTATTGATATGAATACCAATAAGAGGCATCCACTCTGTTATTTCTTTTTCAAATTAAACATAATCAACATAAAGTAAACAATAACATCTATGGGTACAATTAAAAGTCCAACACAGTACATTATCAGTACCTTGGTGGTGTACTCTGTCCTCTCAGAAGCCTGCAAAGGGAATTCAGCATATAAATGGTGCATTGCATAATTAAGCTAGCAACAAAATATGTAAGCATAGAAATTCTAAATGAAGAACTCACTGACGTTACAGGCTGATGACCTTGTTGAGTGTGCTGAACACATGCACCTGGCTGTAGAATCTGTAAATTAATTTTGTAAAGCTGACCAATCTACAGCTGACATGTAAACAGCTTACAGAGAAACGGATGTATGTTTAAGCTGTACAAGTTTAATGTAACAGACAGAAGCCTTTAGGAATAAAGTTTATAAATAATGGCACGACAGGTAATGTTATCTTTTCTATAGCAGAGCTTTGCTTTCTTCTATTGCAAACAATTTAAATCCTATCAACTCTTGATATCTGTCAAATTGGGTAATAGATTATGAAATCCTTTTTCATGACTAATGGCAGCTTAGTTACATCCCAGATATCCACCTTATTGTGTGTGATTATGGCTCTACACTACAATACTGGACTTCAGAATGGCAATTATCTTTCCAACTCAAACTGGACCTTCAATTATAAAAAAAAAAGGTTTCTGGAGGAAATGAGTGTTGTTCACTAAGACGAAAAGACCACTTGGCCATGGTAGTCTCTCCCCTGGCTATAATAGCTCTTCACCCTAGCCATAGAAAATGTTCCTAGATCTGATCTCTGTTTGTTAAGTTCAATTGTATATCAATTTGTTGGCTCATATTCCCTACACTGTACAGTACCTGGGAGAGGGAAGGAACTCACACCAATCACTCAAAGCTGGGATTTCATGAACATTCTCACATTTATAACCAGCAGCTTGGTGAATGGATTACTGTATAAAATGAAGACCATAACTGGGAGATGGTGGAAATAGGTTACAATTTAATCCTCCAAAATCCACTAGTATTATTTAAGTATTAAGAATAACATTTGCAAACACATTAAGTTTCCTGTATGCCACGAATTTTCAGCAACTATGTTTTATTAATATCTCTATTAATCTAGGGCATTGGTGGAGCTGATAAACTTTTCATGCGGAATAAAAGTCAAAGCCGCAAAACAAAAAATACACTGTTGCCTGGCGATGTAACTCTGATCTGTGAAATGGTTTTAGATTAAATAACCCAAATTTGAAACTCTCTCTCATCAAAACTTCAAGTCCATTGAAATGCATTTTAAATCTTACAATGAAAGAGAGGAAGCATCTGACCAACTCCTAGTGGGTGATGTCTGGTGCAATCCTCTGGGAATCCCAAAATTAATAATCACCTAATCCTGCAGCACCATAATCCTATTAAGATACCTCTGACAACTGAATTACCAGTGCAGATGAAATACTGTACAGCACTACAGTGCTTCCAAAACATTCCTGAATTATTTTACTGCAAGTATTTTGGGGAATCTCTTTTACATATTAACAGAACACCAGTCCCATGATCTGGAAACTTTATGAAAGAATTATGGAGCAGTCTAAAGTATCAACTCAAGCTTCTCTGGCCTGAGTTAAAGTGGCTACTGTACTGCTAATTAACATCCAAAGGGAGTTAAATAACTTAAAATTATTGAAATCCTAAAATCTTGACTAGAACTTGGGAAGACCAAAAAACTAAAGCACTGAAACCCGTCTTGTTATTAATATATTCAGTGGTGGATTTACCAAGGAGATACGCAATAGGTAAGTGATCCACTCAGTAGGGGTGTCAGTGTTTAACATTATTATGTTCAATAATTGTCACTGTCAGGTATGTAGAAATGTTCAACTGACACAGTTTAATTGGCTTATCCATGCATGATTTATTAAATTTTATGATTGACTAATAATTGCACAAACACTGACATGTGGATAATATGCAATCCTTCTCAAGGCAGTCTTGCTGTGACAGAAAAGAGTGTTTGAATAAATCTGTATTGTAGTGCACTGACGGATTGTGTTTTTGGTCTTTCAGCTAACTTTTATGGACTTTACTATTAATGCGCTATCAATCTTGACCTAGTTTATGAGATTACTTCAAGTATCATAGCCCACCACCAAACTGTTTTACAGCCATTTTCCATGCTTGCATGTGTTAGCCAGTTACCTGCATGGTCTCTTGCAGCATCTCTCATCAAGTTCTTAACTCAGTCATTAATAAACCTCTCCCCAAACATTCTTGACCTACCCCTAGCTCTCTTCCCCTCTACTCATGCATCTTTTGACCCAATTGGTTTTATTCATTCTCTCCACATGCACAAGCCATCTCAGTCTATCTCTACGCAAAACTTGGTCAATTATCTCAAATACCCAAACACCCTCTTAGCTCTGAACTGGGTTTCCTATCATTCAGTGTCAAATTGCACATCTACCAAATCATTGTCATTGTCCTTAACCACCCATATTTCACTGCCAAGTCTGCCATACAGCATCATACTTCTCACACCACTTGCATACATCTTTCTTTTCATGAGAAGAGAAGGTTCTCTAGCCTTCAATAACAAGGATGGTTTATAATAATACATCATGATACAATGAACACTGTGCAGTACTGTACAATTTTTCACACTTGGAAATCAAAACTTATTCATGTACTCGTATGAAGATAAAATAAAAATTACTCACAGCCTGATTGGACTGACGCCACCTGCTGATGGCTCGTTGATCTTCTGGATTCATGGCAACATCCTTTGCGTTCTGCACCATTGGTGTCACAGCTTGAGTGATAAACACAAAAAATTTACTATGTATTAAGAATAAATTATAAATATTAGCTACAAAGGCACACCTACATGTACACATACATGCACATACTTTCTCTCTTTCCCTGAAAAAACAAAACAAAACAGTAAATACATAAACAATAGGTTCCTGCAAATCACAAAGAATATTGAATGGTACCTCAGCAACATTATATACCAATTACAATGATAAAAGTTTAAGATTATGCTCACCTGCTTGTACCTGGTCTGAGGCAGCAATGACCTTGGCTACAAAACTAGGATCTTCAGAGTTATCAGCCTCCTGTTTGGCTACCATAAGTACTCTATTTGCAAGGCGAGCAATTGCACTTGTGTTGTCAACCATGGCCTGGGGTTCATGATTTTTTATAGATGCTTCACAGGCTGCAGTATGTCTTTTGATCAAGTCCTCTGTTGGTACATTAGTAAATTTATTACAAATGAAACACACAATAAACATAATTCTTAACACAAATGTGAAAAGCTCTCACCCAACAGAATATATCCATTAAATAATAAACAAGATCATTATAATTGGTTTCAAAGTTGAACAATAGATTTATTAACACCAAACTTATATATAAACAATGTGGTTCACAGTTAAACAATTTACTGAGCACAATGCAACCTAATTTGAAAAAAAATTCAAATTGTGTGTACGGGTAAAAAAAAATTACAATGATAAATAATAAAATTGATACATAGCATGTAACAAAACAATAGCACACAGTTTTAAATTATATTTTCTTATTTCTAAGCCACATTACAGTATTGTAATGATCTTTCCACAACTTATTAGTTTTGTTACATGTAACAATGGCAACATGTTATCTCAAAGGCCACCTCATCCCCAGTTTTTTCCCTTTCCCAGTGAGTCAAGCTATTGTTAAAACGAATTTTTACTGAATGTTAAGCGAAAAAGTGTGTCAAATATTTTTTATCATTAAAGTGAATTAACATTAAGTGAATTAATACTAAAAGAGGGATACTGTACCTGTGGATCTGTAAAATAAAATAAGCGACTCTTGCTAATGATATGAATTCAGAATCATTCAAAACATTGTACAGATCCAAGAACATTTTAAATGTTTGCAGCCTATTTGGTGATACAAACTAGCTGGCAAGTTACATGCCCTAGATCAGTGGATCTAAAACTGGGGGGCGCCCAGAAGATTCCAAGGGGGGAGCACGCAGTCAGAGAGAAAGTCTGGTCAGGAACTGAACGCGTCTTGTACACAATTGCTCATCCCTCCCACTCTATAATAACCAAGGGTTGCATCAGGGGGTGGGGGAGCGTGGGATCTAGGACTTATGCAGAGGGGAGGGGGTAGGCAAAAAGTTTAAGAACCACTGCCTTAGATGAATCTTTTTAAAGTTGCTTCCCTTGAAATGATCCTTCCTAGTTTGACCAAACACATTTTCCAAAACAGTGAAACCAGAAACAGCAACAATGGGTTAGTAGAGGGTATGCTGTATATCTTATGTACCTGATGCTTTAATAAATGCTGAAGACTCTGTAGCCTCATCAGCCAAATCTCTCACTTTTTGAATACTTTCTGCATACTGCCGACGCAAGTTTTCAAAGTGCTCATCGGCTGCTTTGTTTGTGGGATATGTCATGCGAATACGACCTGCAGCCACCAACTGAGGAGTTAAACTTTCCACCTACAAAAGAAATAAAATAGAAGATAAATCACACAAGAAGATAAAAGTGGGAAGAACAGGCGAGACCCTAACAAATGCACACCTAACAAACATCTGAGAAAGAGAAATACAAGTATATATATCATGGTTTAACAGACAAATGGAGTGAGTCAATGAATGTGTCCTGATTAATGATAAGATATATTCGAATAATGTGAATGGATGTACAGTATGTATGGGGCAGGATAATGAGTAAGGTGGTCAACAGTGATGTACCTTACATGTGAGGGAGAGGTGTGTTTAAGTGCCAGGACAACCTTGGACTGGAGGAAGTTTTCAGGAGCCAAACCTACTGTGTAATGTGAAAGATGTGCCATGGTGAATAATTGCACAATAAAATGCAGTGAAGGTAAAATGCTTAATTTTTCTCAAAATTTAAGTGACAAAAGAAAATTTACCATAAATTAAGTACCCCTACACCAAGCAGTAATATTAGTTAGTAAGAATCTACCTGTCCAGCAGAGGAAAGAAGAGCTTCTGTTAGCTTCTTGTTGCCTCCCGAGCTACCAGCAGCAACCATCAGAGCTGTTTTGGCAGCTCGATTGCTGAAGTTTGCAAGATTGGCTGCACGATTATCAAAAGCTTGTTCCCGGCCAGGTGTGCCTAAAAGGAAGAAAATATGGATAAATCCTTCACATATACATTTACTACATTAGATAATTCATTTAAAAGAGAGCAGGAAGGTAAAAGATTAATTAATTCTATATGTATATCAACTTTGTACAATTTGTATATGGTATACTGTGCTGTATACATCTGCTGAAAAAAAGGGAAATTGCAGCAACTAGCTTCTCTCTTTCCAAAGACTCTTATACATGTTTCATTCTCCTTCTACAAACTCTGGACTACATTCAACAATATCTTATTTACTCTACTTAATTTAATTTCTTCCCACATCCTTTTCTAACTACGGTATTCTATTATGTGCTTTTGCCAGGCCTATAATCCATGAACTGTAACAAAAAAGGTTCTTTAATTTTTTTCCCCAAAATTTACATACCGGGGTAACTCATTCTATATCTTTTTGTATCTGATGTTTAATACACCTTTTATAAACCTTCACCATAAGAACAAAGGCTTAATGACTAGTAAATTGATGAGCAGTGAAGAAGCAAACCATAATATAAATTATTACTTGGGCAAAGAAAACCATTTAATCCTCTAATTTCATTAATTTGAAAAAAAAATAATTTTCAATTGCACGGAATTAAATTCTTATGTTTTAAAACCATTTACCTTCTGGTGCAAGGACAGAATCAGTAAACTGCTTGAGGGGCGTGGTAATATCAACAAAGTCCTCAACGACCCGATCCACAACAGCAGTCTGGATTTTGTTCTTAAGCTCTTGTAACTTGGTTGAGAGCGCTCTGGAAAGGCAAATATTACTTATGTCAGCTATAACAGGTAAAGGGGAGGAAGGAAGAAGGAAACCCAAATAAAAGTGAATACCTGTATATAGGATAAACTCAGGGATACATATCAGTATCCTAATTCTGTATCAAGTCAGCTATTAAAATTGCACTAGCCTACCTGATATATGCTAGTTACCACTTCATTACATGGTGAAAAAACCAAGTCTTCAATATTTCAGCCTCGCAAAGAGTATATAATTAACTGCTTATATGTACCTGGCAACTGCCTGGGCTTGTGGAGTGTCACCCTGACCACGTCTGCACATCTCAGACAGTTGCTGTGATAGACTATCGACTTCTTCACACAATGCCAATATTCCTGTCTGAGCTGGTCCTGTTAGTCCTGCTGCCACCTGTCAAATATGTTAGTATTAAGTTATCATCAACATCATGTACACCTCTTCCCACACTCAGACCAAGATAATGCTTATAGAATCTTCTCCAACAGTTCACTTACTGACCATTTCTACATTTAAGGGGTTCAATACTTGACACAAAATCACAGACATATTCCATAAGCTAGTCTGGCTACTATAATAATGATAGTTTTCAAATCTTTTCTCAAATCATCATTATCGTTAATGTTTTATGGCTATTTTCTACGCCTTTGTGGAAAACGGTTGATTGTGTGTTCTGATGGCTGAAATTAGCAATTCCTTCTTGAATTTATTTGTTGCAATTATTTAACAACACAAAATTTTACAAATTCAAATGGTAAATTTACAGAAACATCAGTAACACTATACCCGTTTGCCTTCTTCCACAATAAGAGCAATGGCCTGTTGTCCAAGTCCTTTGTCATCCAGTGAAGGGTTGTTGAGCCAGCGCTGTGCCTGTTCCAATCGTCCAGCAACTGTGTGGGCCGGCTGCTGTACTCCACTTCTCTCTACATTGTTCACTGCTCGGGATATGGTTCCACTCAGTTCATTCAGTTTCTCACCAATGCTTCGTGCTAAGCTCTGGCCCTGAAGATAAAGTATACATTATATTACAGTTATATATACATATATATATATATATATATATATATATATACATATAAATACTTTTCTTTTGTTATACTCCCTTTAAGAATGGACAAGGTGTCTATAAGAAGCTTAGCTCACTTATTTGTTAAATTTGCCAATGGGAAAACTTTGTATTTTGTTTATACAAAGTTAAGGATAAAAGATGGTATATACAGTATTTTAATGTGTGGACATTTCTATTTGTTGTCCTTGTCCTTATTTGTCACTTCCTATACTTATCTAGCACCAATGATCTCATTACCATACTTCCTCTCTTTTTTGAAGTTTCTATATCCCTTGATCCACCAAACAGAGATATTAGAGAGAGAAGTAATGACAATAGGTAGAGAGACTGACTATTTTTTTTTTTTGCTAAAGCTTCTAATATTACACTACCATGCATAATACTACAGTACCAGAACTTCATACCTGTGGTGTGGTTCCCTTGCCATCCTGCCGTAGTTCACACAGAGCATCAGTCATTGAGGAAATATCTCCTGACAGCTTCCTGATGGCATCACGATCTGGTGGTAATGATCTATCCGCTACCTTTCCAGCCTGGGATAAAATCTGACGAAGGGACTTTTCTCCAATGCCACCACGCAGAGCAGTTGGGTCCTGTTGCAGAGAAATTCTTCATAATAACTTAGAATTTTTTTACGCAGCAATGGATGATGACGAAGTTCAAACATTAAAACCAAGACACTTGAACACATGCTAGGTTTAACATGGGACTGCTGTTCACAATTTGGATATCAAATGTTTAAAATCTGAGCATTTCACTTGATAACTTTTTACAACTCATACCCTGAAATACAGTATGTGTTATCTATATCATTATGTATGTTCAATACATAATCATAAAAATCTGTTTTAACCAAAGAAAATTTACTTATACGTAGAAAAATCCTACAATTATTCCTATCTCCTATTTACCTGAAGCCAGTCATGTGCAGCTTGCGCTTTGCCATCAATGGCATTAAGAACTTTCTTCATGACGGTCAGGTTGTCAGCATCCCACTCCTCTTCATCATATGTTGTCAGTTGTAACACACGTATAATCTCATTGATCTCATCTGTCATCCTCCCTAGGAAACAATATTTAATATTTAAAAAATCAACTTTACTCCAAAAATTTATATGAAACAAAATACTGCAGTTCCACTTAAAAGCTGATGCAGGAATACTGTACTGTATAATATGACAATGACAGTGAAGCAGTCTGTCTACAGGTAAACTGAATAAATTATGCCATTCCTTACTCTGTGAGAAAGCTTGAACTAAATAATCAAAGGAATGGTTAGTTCAGATATATATATATATATGTACTGTGTATATATATATATATATATATATATATATATATATATATATATATATATATATATATATATATATATATATATATATATATATATATATATATATATATATATATATATATATATATATATATATATATATATATATATATATATATATATTTTATTTTTTTAAATGATACAGTAAAGACAATAGTTGGAAGCATATGAAAATGAACACTCTACGTTCTTTATGTCTTGGCCAAAACAGTACAGTACACTGGTAACATATCAATATTACACCTTCTTGAGTGATATAATGCTAATAGTAATAACTGTCACCATTAATATCAAGTCTACAACCTGTGACTGTTTATGAATCGTTTTATATCTAACATCTTGCTACAATAGTTTCTAAAATGAATGACAAAATTGAAGGACATGTAAGACTTACCAGATAAATAATTCCTGTTTTCAGCGGCTTCCTCAATACCCTTTCCACCTTGGTGGAAAATCTGGATGAAGATTTTCATAGAGCAAATAAGGATGGGAGATAGAGTCTTTACACCTTCTAAACACCTCATTAAGATTTCACGGTGAACTTGGTGTGTCAACTCTTGCTGGCGACCATCTACATCACGGGAAACCTGGAGAGAACCAATTGTAGTGAACAGTGTAGAGCAATCATGCTGGCTGACATTAAATTTTATTAATTCTATTGGAAAACATTAAATATCTTGCTTTAGATCATACCTATACTGTATTGAGATTCTTAAATACTTCATTAGAACACAAATTATTTACCGATAATTAAAGACTAAAATGTTTTTGGGCAAGTCATTCAAATGATGATACTGTACTGTACAGTGCTAAGTCTCACATTCTGTGCACTAGTTGAGTATTGAAGTCAAAAACATTTTATTAAACATCTTTGCAAATTTAAAGTCTAAACTTAATTCTATGGACTTACTCTGGTAAGGCATGGGGAAAGATCTTTAACAAACTGGACCAAATCTTCCATAGTTTCAATAACCTCTGCTACCGCTAGGTAGTCCAAGACTTTCTTACACTCTCGGATGATCTTACGAACTTCTGACTCATCAAAGCATAACAACAAAGCAGAAGTTCCCTGTAAGATACCTCGGGCTCCTTCTATCAGTTTCTTTCTGCAAGAGTAAAAGAGTAGATTCAAATTTCAACATTGCAGACAGAATCATAATGCATGGACAGTACAGGAGTACAGCTTTATCTTAAATAAAAATCACATTACTAAACAGTGCAGAAGAAAATATACAACACTGAATACTATACAGTTACTATAATGCTTGTTACTATATATAAGAGTGCCATAATAGGTGCTCAGAGTCTCAGGATACTGTAGGTTAAATCTACACAAAATGTAAAAACAGCAAAAAAAAATCTCTAAAGGACACAAGGTTCTTTAAGAAAATGAAAACCTTAAAAAATACCCAGACCGACGGACATGTGTGATTATTGCAGTGACCTAATTTAAAAAAAAAAATAGGCCTGATAATTGTTTGCAAAATAATTACAGGACCTTGTATAAAAATAATAATGTCAGTATCTAAATTTCCATTATATTATTGTTAAAAAACAGACTATAACACTGCAATTCCTCTGAATAGTAAAGGAAAGACTGTAAATTTAACTCAGTAATTATATGTGTGATTAATTGGCTCACCTAGCAGGCTGTGAGTAAGGGTCAGCTTTTAGTAATGAAGAAGCTTCTTCTAACAGTTTGGCAGCACTTTCAACGCGGTGGAGTGCAGCGGGCATGTCTTGCTTCAGGATGGGGTCATCGCTGCTGTTGATCGTCTCCCGGCCAACCTGGAAAACAAATTCAATAAAGTATCATAATAAACAAGGTGGATCTATAATAATCTGAAGTGGGCCCACGGTTGCATTACTATAATAATGATGAAAGTTATCAATATGATGAACAATGTGGCACCAAAATAAACAAATGGGACCTGAATAACTAATATGGCATCATGAGGACCGCATGAAATAGATCACTACCATAGTGGCCATCAGGTTGACCAATATGGCATCAAGACAACCAATATAGCACTTGGAGTATGGCATCAAAATAACTAATATCACACCATGACGACCAATATCACACCTGGATGACCAATATAACACCAGGATGACCAATATAACACCCAGATGACCAATATAACACCCAGATGACCAATATAACACCAGGATGACCAATATATATGACCACCATAACACCCTGATGACCAATATAACACCAGGATGACCAATATAACACCCGGATGACAATATAACACCCTGGATGACCAATATAACACTGGATGACCAATATATGACCAATACCAGGATGACCAATATAACACCAGGATGACCACCAATATAACACCCGGATGACCAATATATAACACCGGATGACCAATATATAACACCCGGTGACCAATATAACACCATGACCAATATAACACCAGAATGACCAATGACCAATATACCAGAATGACCAATATAACACCAGGATGACCAATATAACACCAGGATGACCAATATAACACCGGGATGACCAATATAACACCAGGATGACCAATATAACACCAGGATGACCAATATAACACCGGGATGACCAATATAACACCAGAATGACCAATATAACACCAGAATGACCAATATAACACCAGAATGACCAATATAACACCCGGATGACCAATATAACACCAGGATGACCAATATAACACCAGAATGACCAATATAACACCAGAATGACCAATATAACACCAGAATGACCAATATAACACCAGGATGACCAATATAACACCAGAATGACCAATATAACACCAGGATGACCAATATAACACCAGAATGACCAATATAACACCAGAATGACCAATATAACACCAGGATGACCAATATAACACCACCAGGATGACAATATAACACCGATGACCAATATAACACCCGGATGACCAATATAACACCGGGTGACCAATATAACACCAGGGTGACCAATATAACACCAGGGTGACCAATATAACACCAGGATGACCAATATAACACCAGGATGACCAATATAACACCAGAATGACCAATATAACACCAGAATGACCAATATAACACCAGGATGACCAATATAACACCGGGATGACCTATATAACACCAGAATGACCAATATAACACCCGGATGACCAATATAACACCAGGATGACCAATATAACACCGGGATGACCAATATAACACCAGGATGACCAATATAACACCGGGATGACCAATATAACACCAGGATGACCAATATAACACCAAAATGACCAATATAACAAGATAAATCACGATTACAATGTTATTGAGAGAATAATACCGTATAATAACAAGGTTTACAGTTTCGTAACACATTACCAACAGACTACAGTACAACACTTTGGTAAATACACTGTAATGACTCTTAATTAGACCAATGGTAGCCTGAATATAAACTACAATGTTAAATTAGCTTGGCTCTAATTTTAAGTAGCTGTGGGCCAAGTTAGGTTTCGATCCCTTATTCATTAGTCAACACAAAGTAATTAAATCTAGACAACAGCAGAGTAATAAGGCTAGTTGGCAGGCGGCATGACAGGCAGGTAGAGAGACGCTAAATATAGTACGAGGTGGTTGACTTGGCCAGCGTGAAGCCCGCCCCCCCCCCCTACCCCACCCCCCCCACACACACCTACTCCCCATCTACACCTGTACTGTACACTCTCCCCAAGGACACACCCACCTGTACCGTACATCCACTGAACCACACCCACCTTCCCTCCACACACACACACACACTGTGCCAAGCAATAAAGTGTTTATAGAAATATTTACAAGGGTGTATATCCCGGATACCTCAAGTGTATAGTTTCATGTTGAGTTGATTTCAAAATAACACACGGTGAAGAAAACTGCTTAAGTGTATTGCTATCTAAGAGGGCTACCTCACCACCACATAACCCCCCCCCCCTTTCTCTCTCCCTACCCGTCTCCTCTCCCTGGCGTGTGACTGATAAACAAGTGTCAAGCACCTGGTGTGTACCTGATTCACAATAATTACACAGATTTAACTCCCTAAGACATTGTGTGGATTATTACCAAGAAGACACACATACACAAATGTGAAAAATAACAATAAGGATCTGATACCTAAAGTAATGTAACCAGAATGTTGCCCTCGTCCCTAAAGGCAGTGTTTCCCCCTGGATCCACTTTCAAAACTTGGCAAGAATGAGTTTTATCTGGTGATGAGATAATTATATGCAGATTTAATACAGTAATTCTCTGTTGTTGGTATGACTAGCATGTAAGCTTAAGTATACACAACTACAAGCAGGTAACTTAGTAAACATGTGAACCATTTAACCAAAGTGGAGTCTACCCCTCCCCCCTCTCCACACCACCCTCAGTACACACACTGCCTATACTGAGAACAGCGAATTATTAATATTACTATAAACAAGTCAGGATGTAGGTGCTCTCATACACAAACACACACACACACACACGCATATATATATATATATATATATATATATATATATATATATATATATATATATATATATATATATATATATATATATATATATATATATATATATATATATATATAGTACACACATACATACACGTGCGAACACTATCTGACTAAGGTTAAAAAATATATAAAAATGGGTCATATAATAATCATATCCGAATAGCAGCTCACACGCCCCTACCGCACGCCAGTCCACCACCACCACCTGCCTCACACCTCCACCACCACCTGCCTCACACCACCACCTGCCTCACACCACCACCTGCCCCACACCACCACCACCACCCGCCTCACACCACCACCTGCCTCACACCACCACCACCACCTGCATCACACCTCCACCACCACCTGCCCCACACCACCACCACCACCCACCACACCTCCACCACCACCTCCTGCCACCTCCACCACCACCTGCCCTCCACCACCACCTGCCTCACACCACCACCTGCCTCACACCACCACTTGCCCTCACACACCCCGCGAACACACCACCACCTCATGCTGCCCCAGAGTGGAGGTATACAGGCCGTCATAACGACCTGCCCCCCCCTTCATTACTACCCCCGACTCTTCACATCCACCCACGATTGTTTTCAAATATTGATGAAGAATGGAACAATGGTCATGCCTGGTCAACCCGAGGTAACAGTACCTTTCTGCTGTCTATTTCAGTACAAATATTCATAAAAAAAAGGTCAACTAACAAACTTTTTTGCTATAATGGGCAGAAAAATCAGTTTCCAAAATATATAGTAGAGAGTTTTCTTGGTCATCTTAGTTCCCAAGAAAGAAAGAATTTATACAAGAGGGTGATGGTGACGTCACCGCCCTGGGGAGGGGGGGCTCCAGTGTTACACCTGACACTTAAAATAGGTGGTCAGAGGACGGCCTTAGCTCACGTGAGGCGGTGCTGCTCCTGTATCACCCACTCCATAGTCTGGATTGTAATTACCCTGTACAAGTAATTAACTATTTTAGTCATTACCAATACGACATTTAAGCACATAGCTACTGTATAATTATATCTTTTGTCTGTATGAAACATTAGCTTTAATATTAAGAACTTATTATACAACTAAACTCTACCTTCCCACAGTGGACTTGTTCTTAAAGATTATTATTTTCCCTAATGATGAGAGCCAGCGTTAAGGCAGCCTCCCTCCTGCCCCCAACCCATAAACCGATGACCACAAAGTCGTAATTACTGATCCTATCTCTGAAACAGTTTCTGTATTCTTCTGTTTAACCAAATATAAACATAATGTACTATGTAGCTGTGTATTAATAGGTGTTACTAGACTGATTTACTACTGTATACTTCATGTATATCCGACTAAGTTATACACGAAGACATTATCAATTCTGTAAATAAAGTTGTAAGTAACTGTGACGACATAGTAGATAGTTATTTATTTACACCTGCACACCAACACGCCTTAGAGAGGGATCCCAGTCTGGCCTCTCAGTATTCACCACTCAGTAATCTCCCATCAACTCGCTCACCCACTTAACCTGTACTTCTCCGATAAATCCTTGTTTATGACTCTCTACCCTTAATTAATATTACCTTTAAGCCCTAAAAATAATGCTAATCCCCTCGTGAAGTAAGTGGCGAGCGGCGGGCTGAGGAACGAGACAGTCATCACGAGGGTCTTTGGGACGAGCGAGTCAGTCAAAACACGGTTCTCGCTCTTGCTGATGTAATTGGTAGAGACGAGGACGATCATTTTCTTGGTTAATAGCTTGTTACCAGTAAAGGGCCGGAGGGTTAATGTCATCACCTTAGGCTGTCTGGTGTCTATCGTCCATCAATCTGTCAACTCTTAATTATTTTACTCCGCTGAACCCTCTCCCACACGTAGATAAACAACACATTCCTGAGTCTCCATTGTTACCAGGTGTGAGAAGACTTGCAGGTGGTCCCTTAATTTGCTGAATATGTTTTGCTTTGTTCCCCGGGATGAGCAAGTCAACCACGACTCCCATGTACTTATTTTCACCAGTCACAGCATCATATTTTTGGCGCTTAATCCTGAAATAAGAACCGAGTCCGTTATACGCTTTATTTGTTCGTTAATGACAGTCATCTGGCGATTCTGCATTAGCGTATTTTCAGCAGTAAGACTAAAATGCGTAAATGCGCACAACACCTGGCTCAGCTCTCCCGTGTGTGGACCATAATTAGTCTACAAACTCAGGTAGCGGACTAAGAAAATGTGCAAACACGGCAAATGAGGGAATTTTCTTCCTCCCCCCCCACACACACAGGGAATGAGAA